CTATAAATGTTAACTTAGAGTTTTAACTATTGAATTAAGTAAAAACCTTAACGATTAATCTTTATCCTAAGTCAGTGAAAACAGTGTTATAAATCACCCACCTAACTCCTATATAAGTGTTAGAACTTACAATGAATTCATAATGAACTTACTATAAACTTGTGCTTCTAAAAAACCTTATGTCTAAACACTAAACTGCATAATTCTAAATCAAATAAGGAGTGAGTATACTTATACCATTTATTACTTAAGCAATATCTAGTAACTTATAACCAAGTGAAAGAAAGCATTCTTGATGTGCTTCAGAGTTTAACCCTTGTACATGTTAGAAAAGGCCAAGCGGCATAGTGGGAAAATGGAAAAATGAACCATGACATTCTCAGGTTAGCTGTGAGTACTTCGCATAAACATGCCATTTTCTTCTTCCACGACTGCACAGAATTTCTTCAGCCGTACCAACAGCAAGGATGGAAGACAGAAGGGCCTCAGTTGCCCGGACTCACTTTGCGGCCGGGGGTCCTCAGCACACCTGGACTTTGTTATTCAGGCGGGCCTCCAAGGCTGGCTCCCAACAGGTTTGTTTTGTTTTGTTTTGTGTCACTATTGTTGCATTCGTGGCAGAATGTAAATATGTACTTGAGATTCCTTGGCAAAATATCATTTAGATAATATATGATAACAAATATGAATTCTGATTTATTTTTCTTAGTGTTTAAAAGAGTGACTTGCCTGAACTTACACTGCAGAATCTATTGCCTGCACCTTCCTGCTTAACTCCCTTCCTGAAGTGTTCAGTCACAGACATTCCTGCTCATGCTTTAACATTTATTTTTATATTTAATACTGCTTTTTTATGGGCTGCCTCTAGGTCAGCATGTTATAGCGGTCAGTGATTTGGGCAGAGGTTTTGCTTAAACCTCAGGAGCCTAGAAAACCTCAGCCCTCAGGCCATTGATCTGTGTGTGGGTTGTGGAAAGAGTGAAAGCAGCCTGTCTCCAGATCTCGCTTGGTTTTACTCTCTCTTGGTGCTCTAGGGTACCCACCCCCATGCATTTCCCAGGGGTGAGTGGAGAGTTTGGCAAAACTTCCTCACTTCTCTCATTCTCAGGGCATCTCTCAACGCTACCCTAATTCTATCCCTGGCTGGTCTACTCCTTGCTTCAGCTGTGACTCCAGTCTCAGGATAGAAAAGATGCATCTTTATCCTATTTGTTTCCTATAGCCTTTGTCACTCTTGCTTATAAATCTTTTGGGTTCCCCCTCCCCAAACCAAATCCAGTCCGCTGAAGACCATTTTAAAAAAATGTAAATATAAAATTAGATAAAGGATGTTGGAAGGGGCAGTACCTACAATGGGTCCTGAAGCTCAAGGTCATTAAATTCCTGATAAAGCTTTCTTTGTCCATGACAGAGGGGACACTACCCAGAAGCAAAGGACAGCAGGAAGGGTTCCAAGAATATGGGTCTGGGGGTGGAAGGTGAAGTACTTGGATGGCAGGTCTAGTGGGTCTGTCCATTCACAACAGGATTCTTGTCCGGGGTTGCAGGATAAAGGGAAAAGATGGAAATCTCCAGAGTTGACAGGAGCCAGAAAGTATCAGGGCTGCATCTATGTAGGCTGGCATTTAGGGCAGGGCTCCAGTCCTGGGGACTGAGTATTCAGCAACTGGGATTAGATACAAAAATGCAGTTGAAAGGCTGGGTTTAAATTAGAGATTAGAAAGCATAGATGTCATTTTGTACAAGAGGGGCTCTGTATGAACCTGGGTCCACCCACGAACAGCCTTCAATCAAAGTCGAACATCAACCAATCAGAACTGCTTCATTTACATGGCAGGAATCCTGGTGCATGATGGGAATCCTAAAACTCACCCTAAACAAAAAGATCAGACTCCACTGGGAAGAACCTCAGGCCACTGTTTCAGTGTGGGTGGCTCTGTTATTGCTGTTCTGCCTGTTATTGTCTTGCAATGTACTCAGTAAACCTGTTTTTCTACTGTGACTTGGGTGAATACTTTTAGCACCTGTGAAAGACCACTAGGGTTTGTATGTGGGTACTGGAGAGGTCAAACTCCCATTTCTGAAAAATTGATTACGGTGTCTGATCTGTAAAATGACAATTCTAATCTTTCATGTGCACCTCTCCCGGAGAAGGGGGCTGGAACTCCTGATGTACGTTTTTGTGAAATCATGGCCAATACTTGGCTCCACAACCAGGGCAAAACTGGGCCTAGAAGGTAAACTAGTCAGGAGAAGCTGTGACACTTGCTTCTTGTAAATAGTATTAGAAGATCTTTAAGAAACAGAGAAGACAGTGGCTGCACTTGGAAAGGAGTATAGTACCTAGCACCTAGCATAAGGAAAAAATAAAATAAATAAATAAATAAGGACCTTAAGTGTCAGAAGGCCCCTGAGGTTAATTTGAAGAAAAGGGAAGCATTTACAAACCTAGAGAAATTATCTAGACAGGACGCAATGAGACAGGGAGATTTAGGGAGTACCAGATGTAGTTATTACTGGAGAGAGAGGGGAAGAAATTTGGAAAAAAAAAAATCACCAGAGATTAGCAGTTAGTTAAATGTGGAATCCAGCACAGAAGCAATGGGCTGGGGTGGTGGCTGCAGGGGAGAGGGATAGAGGTTTTCTGGGGAAGAGATCTGGGAACAATAACAAATCAGGAATGTGATTCTTTTATAAAGGGAAGACAATATTACCAAAATGTGAATTGTTCAGCAACATATACAGTGTTCAGAAGAGTAAGATGTGGCTGCCTCTTAATTTTGGACATCAGAGGCTTATTGTTTGCTTTTATTAGGCTTGTATAGATTAGATATGAAGTTTCTGGGGTTTTTTCCACACATTTACGTAAAACATTTAAATTAGTATCTTGGGCTTTAAGTACACATTTATCAATATTCTTTCTGAAAGTGATGGTTTTGATGAGAACAACAAATGCCCATGAAAATCTGGCGAAGTATAAAGTGCTGAGTCACTGCTGTCCTCTGCTGAATTCATTCTGCTCCAGGAAAAATACACAAGTCAGCATAGCAACAAGAATGTCACCAAAGACAACAGCCTTTCTTTATCTGTAGCCTTTATTTCATTGAGTCAGAATATTTTCATTTTGCACTTGAAGACTTTTATTTCAGTACATGAAAAAAATATTTCATATAGCTTTAACAGTTCACAAAAAGAAAACAGAGAACACAGGAGAACAAGTTGAAAGGCACAGCACAGAAATCAAGTGCTCAGATCTGAACATTTTAAAGATCTCAAAAACCCTTCATAAGAGTTATGAATATGTCCTCTCAACTGGCTTCTGAAATACTTGTAACCTTCTGACTTCTCATCAGCTTCTCAAGAAGTTCTAAAAAGGCAAACCTAGGAATTTAGAATTGCTAGGAGTATTTTGTGTCTTCATTGCTACCACCCCAAAGATTTCAAGAACTATTCTACAGTTATGGTGACCATTCATTGCCTTCCTCTCTTTTAATTAACTCGTGCAACTGATGCCATCCTTCACTGCCTTCCTTGCCATTTCTGTAGGAGAGAGTTGTATTGAAACCAGAACAGGCAGTAATAATGTCATGTTCAAATTAAAATAAGTACATGCATGTTTCCAAAGAAGTAACCTTTTATAAGCAATGCTATGCTTCTCAGACTATGAGTTACTATCCTCAAAGTTTTAACTCTTAGAAGAAAGAGTAACATCTTGTAGAAAAATACTAGAGCAAGACTATCTTTATATTAAGCTAAAGAACATTTGAAAAACCATAGGAAACTTTTTCAGTAACATATGTCTATGCTATAAGTTGTGAATTCTACAGGTAAATATTAACAGAAAGAAATCGTTTATCTTAGACATTTTCTGTCTGGGTAAAGAGCACTTTAAAAACTACCTGAAATTTGTGTAGCAAATATCAAGGGAAGATTGTGAAGAACTTGCATCCAGAATCCTCAACCTAGCCTTCCACAGCCATTCTGGATATTCAATTTCAAGCTCTAAATAGAAACAGATGAGTAAAAATAAGTTGTTTCCTATAAAATCCATAAACATGTATTTCAGTTACTCATGTATAGCTACTAATTAGAATGCTTTCTGGATTCTGTTGTATATCTTTTCACTCTTTCCTAGTTCTCTTTGGCCATGGATAATTAAATAGTTATAAGCAGGCTTATCATGAAAGAAATATAATAATTTTTCCTTCTAATATAAAATGCCAAACATTTTGCTTGCACTAAGGAGTGTCTTCACTCTCTACTCCCTATGGAACAGGCTTGTCATTGCAGAGAAGAAGTAGCATTGGAAAAAGTCCGGCTTTGTTTGCCCCAGCAGAGGAGAGCAGTATATCTGTATGGTGCAGGATGCCTTATAAAAACATTTTGTGGAAGGAAGCATCTTACTAACCCAGTACCCAGTGTGCTGTAGAAACTCAACAAAAATGAATGAAGGAAGGAATGAAAACAAAAATTCAGAGATGTAGCCAAACAATATTCATTTTGTCTCCCTTGGCCATAAGTCACAATTTGGTGATAAATTTTCCACTATAGTCATAATCATTCAAATGTGAAATCATCCTTCACATTTATTGACTTGGTAACTGAAAACTTTGGAAAAGCAATCGTGAAGAAAATGGTTCCTTTTCTGTGATTACTGGCACTATTGAATCCTTTAACGGTACTTGACAATCTGTGGTATGTATAATCTGGCCACAAAAGTCTGACAGAATACTGTTGGTTTTGTTATTTCTAAAATATACCATGTCTCTGGCACTACTGAGTTCTAGTTTGCTCCTTTGGTTAGGTTTAAGACTTTAGAATAAAACACGCTTGGCAAAATTATTTGTTAGAAATTTTAGCATACCAGTGAAGACAATTTTAACCCTCCTATTCTTTTGACAAGTAGAGAGGATGTCTCTAGTCAATCAATACATAGGTAAAGAGCACAGAAGTATGCCAGCATTTAAAAAATAAAAAAGGGGTACTATCAAAGTACTTACCATTTTGGCACTTTGACCATGATCTGCGATTCCTCTTGGATCTTTGCTTGCTGGTTTCTAAGGTAAATAAATTATGTTTTTATCAGGAACTGTGCCAGATATTATATCTATGCATATACAAACACACACACACACACACACACACACACACACACACACACACGAATATGCACACACACATACGAGAATACACACATGTATAGACCACTTCTTACTCTACAAAAAAAATCTGTCTGTAAATTGCTATGTGAAATTTTATCAGACTTTTTCCTTGTAAGACGTGTGAACTTTTCCTAGAGCATAATAGGTAATAAATTTTCAAATATTTTTAAAGGATCAATGCTTTCATTCAGATAACATCTCTATTGGAATTCCAGTAAGACTAATTTTTATAAAAAATTGCACTGGTTCAGTGGGGTGTGGAGAGATTTCTTCATACCGCTCTACCACTACCATCTGGCACATTCTAAGTTCCTTTAGTGTGACCCTAGGACTTTGTAGAAACAGAGACTGAAAACTACTCTAGCATCTTTTTAGCCATTCATAAATAAAGCTTCATGGGAATCGCTGCTTTTAAAAATATGGAGTTGAGAATCTCAGTGCTTTCATTGCCCAGTTCTGAGTAGCAAGTGTCCTACTGAGTGACTTTGGTGATGCAAAAATAGAGATTCTAGCCATTTGGGTGATTTCTAGAGACTTGTAAGGGTTCTTTTTTTAAAATTATTGATTCAGTTTCTAATGCACGTCTGTGCTAACTTGACTAATTTGTTTCTATCTCATAAATATTGATGTGGGATTACACCACTGTGGTTAACTGAGGGTTCTAGTGGGGAGCCCTCTGGTTGATCAAGGCCTCACTGAAAACCATCACTGTGTCTTACACCTCAGAACCTAGAGTGAGGCAGTTGAGTCATCGATCTGAGGAACAGAATTTAAGGGGCGAAAATAAACATAGTGATTAAGATGCTATATACAGTATTAGTTAAAAATCAAAATTAATGTGTAAGAAAACATATGTATCATAATGAAAAGAGGTCAGTATGTTAAAGGATCTGCCCCAGGGCTTGCATGGCTACCTCACCCTCCTCGCCCTACTCCCCACCCTAGTAAGTCTCTATGCCAGAGTGTCGTAGTTCTACCTCAAATTAGAGAGCTGTGTTACATTATTGGGCGTTTTTAAGGAGCCAACAAATGGTTAAGTGGCATCAAAATTAGTTTTGAAATGGACACAGATACCACAACCAAGAAAAGGGGCTGGGGAACATACCAGTGTGATGTAATGGGGACTTGAAAAACTGGTTGGCGGGCTCTCCAAGGACTCTGCAGTTCTCTGCTAGTGAAAAGGGATATTATTACACTGCAATTAGTATTCAAGCAAGTACTAGTATTTTTCACACCCTCAAAATAAATGTTTCAGCCATCCCTGGAATGTATTCCTAGTAAATGTACAATTACTAAAAGACACAGGTACAGTATTCTTCCCTATACTGTTATCTTACAACAGGTAGGCCTATTTAGGGACTTGTCTATAAAGCAAACATGCATGAGAGGAGTGGGTATTCTTTATATTAATACATTGGATATGAGTAGCAGAAGGTGCGTCTGTTAGCCAACAAATCTTAATAGCTCTCTGTCTGAGTGCCTAAAATGCCACAACAGCTATGCTCCTCTTTGGACCTTGAAGGTCTTTGAGAACCTCTGGAACTTCCAATTAAAATATAGATATGGGTAACTGAGGGTACCCTCTTTAAAATGCTTTCTATTAACTCCCCAGTAGACATTAATACAACTAGAAAGCATGGAAGTGGAAGCAGAACCTGAGAGAGACACTGGGTGCCAGAGGGGGAAATAGCAAGCAACTGGGAAAGGATACCAAAGACAGACCTTCTTCAAACCCCAGTTTTGCTGAGGACTGGCCTTTGATGGGTAACTGTCAAACAAGCATCAGCTAAATCATTATTGTTTATAGGATTTTGTGCCGAATAATACAACATCCCTAAATGTGAGATTTGAGGCTCTAAACTCTTCTATCCAGTCTGTGTCTATAATATATCATGGTGTATATGCCATCAGCAGTAATTGAATTTATATATATATACTCAAGCAATATTTATCAACCCCCTTTTCTCAGTGCCCCTCATTGAACCAAAGAGCCAAAGACCTTAAAAGAAGCTTACAATCTAGAAATGTAACAAATGTGTCCCAGGCCCTATTAGACTATCTGGTTGACTAATTTTTTATCATTGATGACACACTCAGGCCACCTTCATCTGATCCCCTTCTCTGGCAGTGTGCCTTTTTTGCATATTAATTAAGGAAAATGTAGTTAGGAAAGTAATCGCCACAACACATGAGGCACAGCAGATAATTAACACAAATTAAGTGCCAGTGCTAATCATTGTACTAAGAACGTTTACTTACGTTCTTATTTAAACTTCAAAGCAAATATATGAGATTTATATTAGTTTCATATGCTTTCATTCCAGAAAAATCTCAGCATAAACTTAAAAAACAACCCCATCACACTATATTTTATGTTCATTAGAGTGGATAATTAAGTTTTATTTTGATTATCTTGGGATCTCCATTAGCACAATAAAGAGAACAGATACATAAAAATAATAACAACCCATCATACAACCTGACAATTGTTCACTGTTCATCTCTTAAAACTCCAGTGAAGTTCAGAAGAAGCATTTCCACTAAAATGTCATGTATGTGTTCCTAAGAGTAGGATGGGAGATGTTCTGCAATATAATGCAGTAAAAACCACAGACCTTATGAGATGCATAGAATTGGAGCAAAGCTTTCAAAACTACTGGGACTGTATAACCAGACACCACCAACAACCAAAAAATATCTTAATTTTTAAAAACTGGTATCACTATATTTTTCTTGGCACTTGCATCTAGCAACAGTCAGTTAACTCTTAGCTTAAAACTTGAGGCTTTTTCTCCTTCCTTCAAGACTTAGGTTCTTGTGGGCATTTTCATTGACTTTTTTTTTTAATGTGGTGTACAATTCAGGGTTAGGTACCTAAGTGGTCATTGTATTTTCATTGTTTCATAGGTATAATCTTACCAATAATGTTCTTTCACATCCCTCCATGGTAACCCTCAGCCATCTAAGCATCAAAGAAACATACCTCAAAATAATAAGAGTTATCTATGGCAAATTCACAGTCAACATCATACTGAACAACCAAGAGTTGAAAATGTTTCCTCCAAATATGGAATAAGACAAGGATGTCCACTCTCATTACTCCTATTTAACATAGTAACGGACCAGAGCAATCAGGCAAGAGAAAGACATAAAATACATCCAAACAGGAAAAAAGGAAGTAAAATTACCTCTCTTCTCAGATGGTCTGATTCTATATCAAGAAAATTCTAAAGATTTGATCAGAAGATTCCTAGACCTGATAAACGACTTCATAAGCATCAGGCTACAAAACTAACATTTAAAAATCAGTAGTATTTTCTCCATGTGCCAACAACATTTAAGCTGAGAACCAAGCCAGGGACGTCACTTACAAAAGCCACACAGAAATAATTAAAATATCTGGGAATAAATTTAAGCAAGGAGGTGAAAAATCTCTGCAACAAGAACTACAAAACACTTTTGAAAGAAATCAAAGATGGTAAAAAAAACAAAAACAAAAACAAAACTATTCCGTGCTCATGGATTGGAGAAATCAATATTGCTAAAATGTTCATACTACTCAAAGAAATCTACAGATTCAATGCAATTCTTATCAAATGACCAGCATCATTTTTCATGAAATTAGAAAAAAATTCTTTAAATTCATATGGAAATAACAAAGAACCCTAATAGCCAAAGTAAATGTAAGCAAAAAGAACAAAACCAGAGGTATCACATTACTGGATTTCAAACATTACTACAAGGTTGCAGTAATTAAAACAGCATGGTACTAGCACAAAAATAGACACATGGATCAATGGAACAGAATAAAGAACCCCAAAATAAAGCCACTAATCTACAACCAACTGATCTTTGACAAAGTTGACTGAAATAAACATTGAGGAAAAGACACACTATTCAATAAATAGTACTGGAAAAACTAGCTAATTATATGCAGAAGAATGAATCTGAAACCCTACCCCTTACCATATTTAAAAATTAACTCAATATGAATTAGAGACTTAAGTGTAAGACCTCAAACTATAAAAATCCTAAAATAAAACTTCAGAAACATTCTTCTGGACATTAGTCTATGCAACAAATTTATGACCAAGTTCTTAAAAGCAAATGTAGCAAAACCAAAAATCGACAAGTGAGACCTAATTAAACTAAAGAGTAAAATACACAACCTACAAAATGGTAAAAAATGTTTGCTAACTACACATCAGACAAAGGGCTACTATCCAAAATCAATAAGGAACTTAAACAAGCTGACAAGAAAAAAAAAACCTCCATTGAAAAGTGGCCAAAAAAATATAAGAAAAAATATCCAACATCACTGATCATCAGAGAAATACATATCAAAGCCACATGAGATATCATCACACAATGGTCAGAATGACTACATTAACAAGTCAAAAAACAATGGATGTTGGTGAGGTTAAGGAGAAAATGGAATGTTCTTTTCAATTTTCTGGATAAGTTTATGTAGAATTGGTGTTATTTCTTTATAAATCTTTTAGTAGAATTCACCATTAGAGCCATGTGGGGCCAATGTTTTCTTTGTGTAAAAGTTTTCACTACAAATTTAATTTATTAGATAAAGAACTATTCAGGTTATCTATGTGAGCAAAGCTCTTCTTTCTGAGCAAAGCTTTAGTAATTTTTAACTTTCTAAAAACTTTCATTTTCACTGTCAAGTATATTGAAATAATATTTTTCATAATATTTTCTAGTTGTCTTTTTAAAACTTATAAGACCTTTAGTACTTATAGGACCTTTAGTGATGTCACCTTTCTGACTATTGATGTTGATAAGCTGTACTGGTTGATCAGTCTGGTTGGAAGCTCATGACATTTATTAATCTTCTCAAATAATAGCTTTTGATTTTTTTCTGTTTTTGTTTGTTTGTTGGTTTCTATTTCATTAGTGACCAATTAGATATATATATATTTTGTACTCTGCATATTACAGGTTTTACTTGCTTTACTTATTCCTTATTTCTTGAGGTCATTGATCTGACACCTTCCTTCTTTTCAACATAGCATTTAGTGCTAAATTTTCTTCTAATTACTCATTTTACTGCCTCCCATATATTTTGATATGCTGTGTTTACTTTCACTTTGTTTAAAATACTTCCCAGTTTCTCTTTTGATTTTTTTCTTTAAATGTGAGTTATATAGAATTTGTTATCTAATTTCCAATTGAGAATTTTTCTGATATCTTTCTGTTACTAATTTGTAACCCAATTTTATTCTGAGAAAATATTTTGTAAACTCCAAAAGTTAAGACTTGCTCTATGGCCAAGACTATAGTTTATGCTTATAAACTGTTTCAATAATGCCAAAATTAATGTTTTATTGAGCCAATATATTCTGCTCTGAAATAGTGATTTAGTTGTTGTTCCAGGTTTGGTTAAACCCTACTTTCCCTTCCTCACTTGTGAATTCAAAGCTTCACTTATGGAGCAAAGGGTCACTTGTGGAACCATGTGAAATTGCTCCTCTGTGTCTCCTTCCTCAATCAGGGCTACTTCCGCTTTAAACGCACCTACAGCTACTTTTTAAAAAAAATCAACTATTGCAAACACAAGTTTCTTACATGTAGAGGATGAATATCTGGCAAGATTGGCTCAGTCCTTGTCTGCTGTTCATCACCAAAGTATCCTTTATTCTCTACTCCCAGTGTTTCTCTAGGTGAACTGCCAAGAAGGAAATTGAACAATGACACAAACTATGGGATGAATTTATGGCTAAAATTAAGTCATCTACAATCATTTTAAAATATGGATGCTCAAATTGTACCCTATAACAATTAAGCCACAATGTCTTGAACCCACATTAGTTTTTTTTTTTTTAAGATCCCTCTGTGATTTCAATGTATACAAAGTTTGGAAACCACTAGGATAAGCATTTGAATATGAACAAGACTTACTACTATTCTTACCTACGGTCAGTATGAAGCTTATACTTTTCCCCACTGAGTATCTTCTGTGGCCAGAAAGTTTAGATATTCTTAGTAATGATCCCCTTCAAAACATAGAAAATGCAGACATACCTCTGAACTTGCTTCAACTTAATACATTTTTGGTAGCGAATTAACAATGTTGCAACTCCAATACCAATAGCAATCAGGACAAGTATAACAACCAAGAAGACAACATCTGCAACAATAAAAAAAAAAGAACTCAGCTAGGGCATCAACTGTAGAATAGAGGAATATTAACACATACTGGGACTGTTACCATCCTGCTTCTTCCTTTCGAAAGGACTTTAATTCTACTTCCCTCTCAACTATGTTTATATAAAGTAAAAAGCAAAAACATGATACAAATTATCATTTGTGTTAGCAATTGACATTCCACCCATGATTCTATTATATTTAAGGGAACCACAATCAGCAGGAGAAGTCATGGTTGTCAGTTAATAGTTGACTATAAAAAAAAGTTCTCATCTTGTTCAGGCGTCTTAGAGGACTTAATCCAAATTTAGCTAGAAGAGACTACATTAACTTAAAAGACAATTGTAGTAAATTCAATCTGGGTATCTAAACATGCAAAATAATAATTAAAAGATCTTACAAATCCATATCAACGCACAGCAAACATGCAGCAGATTTGGAAAACAAGAAAAAAGAACTTTCTCAGTGGGTAGACTTTTATTATATGTAAGATTATATTCTAACAGGATGCTCACTAGTGACATTTAAGGCTTCTTTCCAGATTGCAGGGGCCTGGTCTTCCTCACACTGGCAGTGGAGTTTATGATTATCCACCTGGAAGAGCAGTCAACCACATTTCATCAAATTACTGACATAAATTGTATTCTGCACCTCACTTAACTTAGTGCTGGTTCTACATTAAACACATACACACATGCACACACACAAACTTTTAAATTGATTGATTAATTAGACTGCCTACCAAAATCAATATCGCACAAATACAAGCAAACAAAATACAAGAAGCAGCCACGTTTGAAGAAGGCCTTTGATCAAGAAAATGATACTGACACATTCAAAGGCAGATGAACAAGACAGCATGATTTATCTTTCCAGAAAGCATTCGTATCTTTAAATGAACAGACTCTGTTAGGGTCGGACATATCATAGCCAAAGATCAGACTCTAAGCTTAGAAATGGTGAGATAATCATGACATGGGAGAAAAATAGTGGCACAGTGTTTGGTTGTCTTTCTGGGTTTAAATCTTGCCTTTTCCTAGAACACATCCATATGCCTGATTCTCCATCTGTGAAAATGGGCCTAGGAATAGTACTTACCTCTTAAGATTGTCATGAAGATTTTGAAAGTTTATATATGTAAGTTATACTGATGAACCCAGCTTAGGAAAGATGTTACCCATAAATTCTTAGTAACTGCTGGTTTTAAACAGTGTCAATTAAATGGGAAAAAAATACAATGTTTTGGGGTTTTTTTTTTCTCAAAAGCTTTAAGCTAAGGTTGACACTGGTGTAATTTAACTATAAGTCATGCTGCAATAGATCCAACTTAAAACTTCAGGTTTAAACTTTATATGTACATAAATCACTGAATTTCTAGATTACCAGTTCAATAATGAATTTTTTACTTGTGATACTGGTATTTTCTGTGTGTAATGATAATTGATTTGGCTCCTTGGATCAATCTTATTGATGAGATGAAAAAATGGATCCCAAATATATATTTTATTTAAAAATCAGCAAACACATATACACACATATAACATACACACACACACACAGGCTCAGGAATAAAGTACTATGTAAATATATGACTGAAAAGACATTAATTTCAAAAAACACCACCTCTTCCATTTTTTTTGCAGCACTATTTGCAATAGCAAATACATGGGACCAATCTATATGCCTATCAACAGTGGAATGGGTTAAGAAAAAGTGGCACACATACACTATGGAATACTACACATCCCTTAAAAGGTTAAGTCCTTAGCAGCAACATGAATGCAGCTAGAGGCCATTGATTAAGTGAATTAACCCAGAAACAGAAAACTGAACACCCCATGTTGTCTCTTACAAGCGGGAGCTTAACACTGGGTGCACAGGGACATAAAGAAGGGGATGACAGACACTGGAGACTTCTAAAGTGGGGAGGATGTGGAGACAAAGATCAAAACTCTGTCTGTTGGGTTCCATGTTCACTATTTGGATGATGAACTCAGTAGAAGTTCACACCTCACTATCATGCTATATACCCATGTAACAAACCTGCCCAATGTCCCTTTTTTAAACCTAAAATAATAATAACAAAAGAAAGCAGTTAAATCTTACATCATTTTCACTGCACTGAGAGGGGCAATTGGTTGAGTTGTAGACGTTTTCCATGTTTAGACATTCACCATTGCTGCACACCTAAAAATGAAGTAGCCAACGTCAGTTAGAATGACTTACAATGTGAAACCATGATTCATGTAGCATGTGAAGTGTACAACTTAGCATGGCATTCGCATGTGATATTTCCATTTGCAGGATTTAATTAAAAGTGATGCAACTCTTTTCTATTGTGAAATTCTACATATAGTGTCTTCTGTGGATGATGAAATCCTTTATAAATATTTGACAAAGGTCCTGTACATGCAAACATTGTTATTTCAAACTCATTCGTTACTAACATGTTTATGCCCTTATAAATCTTCGAATGCTAATGTATCAAAGATTCTATAATTCCAATTATAACAGGTTCTTCTGTTTCTATGAAGTTTTAGTTTTGATTTAGTGTAACAATCTATGTTTTCTATATCACCGTTGCTGGCATGGTATTTTATTCATATCAATATTTTTATTTATGCTTAATCCTTTTGTTTTAAATTTTCCTTTTTTTGAATGAATTTTATTACCAAAATATTGTTGAATTTGATTTTTGTTTGGTTTACCTGTGCACATTCAGTTAATATTTAGCTGTTTTTACTTTTACTTATAACTAAACACTTATTTATTGCCACTAATTCAAAAATTATATTTAAATTTTGTATAGAGAAATCTTAATCTATTCATATTTATTGTAAAAATGATGTCTAATTTTGCTCCTTTCATTTTATTATATGATTTCTGATATTAGACATTTTAACTTACTTTTAACTAAATTTATCGCATTAACTCTGAAATTTTTTTATTTTTGGCAGGGTCTTGCTCTGTCACTCAGGCTGGAGTGCAGTGGCACAATCATGGCCACTGCAGCCTTAACCTCCTGTGTCAGGAGATCCTTCCACTTCAGCCTCCCTATTAGCTGGGACTATAGGCTCACACCACCATGCCCGACAATTAAAACAAAATTATTTTATAGATATGTGGGGTGTAAGTCAGGATTAGCTACACAAACGAGCTGTGTGCAGGTGAAGCTTGGACCTCCAACTGGCCCTCATTTTCCCTGGTTTAGGACCAGGTACTCTTTATGATGCTACGGGCTGCCCCCCTCCTTCCCTGCCCTGGCAGTGTCCATTGACGGCTGATCCCTCCCTTGTGCTAATGTGATTAATGTCCAGGTTCCACTCAGGAGTGAGAACATTCGGTATTCGGTTCTTTGTTTCTGCGACAGATCACTAATTATGACGGTCTCCAGCTCCTGCAATTTTTAAAATTTAAAAGCTATATACCATTTTCTAAATATTGACTTTACATTAATATATTTGAAGCTAAACAATAGTATAATTTTCAAGAAAAATTCAGCATTAACTCTTCCTTCTGTAAGATAAGACATTTGCCATGCTTTTACTTCTTTTCTTCTCAGTTCAATTTTTTTGATTGAATAAATTGATATTCTAAATGGTGAAAATTATTATTTATTGTTCAAGAGATTTTTAACATTCTTTTAATAAATATGTTATGATAAATACCTAGAATTTACTCAAAAGCCTTATAGATTTCATTGCTTGCAGTCATTTCTTTAATATCCTATCTCCTAATTCTGACTTCTTAATTTAAATATAATTCCCAGCTGACTAGAATACTTTCTTGATTATTTTTCTTTTCAGAAAATAAATGCAAACTATATGCTGCTATATATTTTATTAGTCATGATGTGGTTGAGAATGTCATTCTATTGCCTTACTATCTATATAATAACTTGGCTGTTTGTATAGTTTAGGTATAGTGTTCCCCCAAACCCTGTAGGTGTTACACCACTACCTTCTGGATACTTGTTGCAGAGAAATATAATGGTAATCTGATATTTTTTTTTTTTTTTGAGTTGGAGTTTCACTCTGTCGCCCAGACTGGAGTGCGGTGGCCGCTCCCGGCCACCTCAGCCTCGACCTGCTGGGGCTCCGGCGATCCTTCTGCCTCAGCCTTCCAAGTAGCTGGAATTACAGGCCTGTGCTACCAGGCCCGGCTGATTTTTTAATTTATTGTAGAGATGAGGTCTCGCTGCCCAGGCGGGTCTCGAACCCGCGGGCTTAGGCAATCCACTCACCTCAGCCTCCCAAAGGCGTGGGATTACAGGCTGAGCCATCGAGCCCAGCTACCTGATATTTTTTATGTAGACAAACAATGACCTGTACTTTGTGTTTATAGCGCATATTCTGTTATTGACATTCAAGTCATGAGGGTAAGTAAAAATGCTCAGCTCTCTCTATAAATGTTTCCTAGTACTAAGTAAAATTTTATTTTATGCATTCTTCAGATCAGAAACATTTTAATTACTATTTCCTTAATTATATTTTCAATCTGTTCTGTTTTATCTAAAATTCCTATTAAACCTTTATGAAATTTCTTAGAACTATATTTCCTGTTTTTATTTATATTCTTCTATTTTTAAAATTCCTTTCTCTTATTCTGTGTTCAAAAGAGTAATCAGCCGGTAATCCTAGCACTTAGGGAGGCCGAGGTAAGAGGATTTCCTGAGCCCAGGGATTGGAGACCAGCCCGGGCAACTTGGTGAGATCGTGTCTCTACAATAAATCACAAAAACTAGCCAGATGTGGTGGCATGCATCTATAGTTCCAGCTACTTGGAAGGCTGAGGTAGAAGGATCGTCTGAACCCAGCAGGTTGAGGCTACGGTGGCTGTGAGCATGCCACTGCACTCTAGCCTGGGTGACAAAGAATGAGACTCCAACTAAAAAAAAAAGTATTTAGTTTCTAATATACTGATTTTTTTTGTAGTATCCATTCTATGGTTTGCTGCCCAAATTACATATAAAACAACAATCATAATATATTGTACTTTGAATGCATTGCTTCATCTCAAATTATATTATTTTATATAGATTTAATATATTTAAAATTGTAACCAAAATTTTAACTTTTTTTGGAGAAGGAGGAAATCTTTGAATATTAAGAAGTAGAAAGGAACAACAGAATGAGTACAGATATGGCTGAAGTGCTGATACCACCATGATGGGTGTGGTTGTTTCCTATGTCTTCTCTTGAAGAAACAGACCCTCTTTATGGAGGTACATGGTCACAGCATGCTTATGAGATAAAGAGATATTAACACGTGTTTTCCTATCAGTCCCTTTTTCTAGTCTCTGCCACTCTTAATGAAGGAAGCCCTTTATATCTCAGGCTGATTTTTCTTAACTGTAGTGAATAGCAAATTGTTTGGTATTTTCTTCAGCCTGAGGTCTAATACACTTTATCTTGCTGGATGTCCTGGAATTTTCTAACTTGTGGTTAGCGCACATACCTCAGTCTTCTTTTTTTCTTTTTATTGAGTTGGAGTCTCACTCTGTCGCCCAGGTTGGAGTGCAGTGCCATGCTCCCAGCTACCGCAACCTCGACCTGCTGGGCTTAGGCCATCCTGCCGCCTCTGCCTTCCAAGTAGCTGGAACTACAGGCTCACATCACCATGCCTGGCTAATTTTTTTTGATTTATTGTGGAGACAAGGTCTCACCAAGTTGCTGAGGCTGTGGTCTCGAGCCTCTGGACTCAGACAGTCCTCTCGCCTCGGCCTCCCAACGTGCTGGGACTACAAGACATGCACCACCGCGCTCAGTCTCAGTTTTCACAAACATGGATTTCTTCCCATGTTGATGTTCATTTAATCGTTTTAACGGAAAGTAGTATAGTTAAATATATGAATTGCAATGTAATTCTGTATTACATATTAAGTTCTATTTCCTTTTTTACATTATTATATTTTCCCCAATGTATTTCTCTATTACAAATGCCACTGCAATATGTGTAGGTGCCAGTATGAAGAGAGAGGAAAACACACCACAGAGAACTATTAAATTTCAAATAGTTACTTTTTTGGTAAAATAGCATATGCTTTCTGTATATTCTTCATAGTTAGCTATTGTTTAGAGCATATATTCTGACATTTTCATCTTGGCATAATAAACCCTTTTCAATTTGATCTCATTCTATCTGTTCAACTTCATCTGAAACCACTTCACCCAAAGCTCAAGTCACACTGAAGTTGTTGTTTACCTGAATATGTCATACACTTTGTACCTTGGCATATTGATAAGGTACTTCTTTCTAAAAAGTCTTTTCCTACTTTCTCTGTGTTGAAATGTTGTGCATCGCCAGCCTCGGTGGCTCAGCCTGTAATCCCGCGCTTTGGGAGATTGAGGTGAGTGGATTGCCTGAGCCCGTGGGTTCGAGACCCGCCTGGGCAACTTGGTGAGATCTCATCTCTACAATAAATCAAAAATTAGCCAGACGTGGTAGCGCACGCTTGTAGTTCCAGCTACTTGGAAAGCTAAGGCGGAAGGATCGCCGGAGCCCAGCAGGTCGAGGCTGCAGTGGCAGAGTGAGACTCCAACTCAAAAAAAAAAAATGTTGTGTACCAAGTCAAAGCTGAAATGTTACTCATTTAAGCTGTCACTCCATCTTCTATGAGCAAAATTAGCTACTTTTTTCCTTTGGACTCCCGAGATATATTGGTCACCCCACTATGAAAGCACTTTTGTTGAATTGTGATGATCTGTTTATAAAATTCTCAAGCACACCTAACTTTAGTGTACAGTGACTGGAGCCACAGTACATGGCTAGTAAATGTGGGTGAATGAATACAGCAAAGACTATATGACTACTTTATAGTCACATTAATTAGCAAAAACATCATAATTTCATTAGATGTCTACTGCGAGAAACTAATTAAGTGCATTTAGAACAATGACATATCATTTGCTATAACTAAAATTAGACAAAATGAATATTCATTACAGAGTTATTGCTGCACTGCTTCTCATTAAGAAGTTGTCCTCTTTCTTTCTTTTTCATATATAAACCCCTTTGGAACCAATTTTAGTGTCCAATGCTGTTTTTAAATGGCTGAACCAAGAAGTTTTAATAAAACAAAGGACTTTCATATTACCATTCCATCTCCACATTTTGTTCCAGTAGCAACCAGGCCAACATCTTGAGAATTGTGGTTTAAAAAAATGGTTTTGCATTGGACGGTGATGTTCTGCTCTGAATCCTTAAGATGGTAGGTTTTGCCTTCTCCAAGGAAAGATGACTGCTGTCCCCCAGTGCAGTATATCTTTCCGCATCTGATATTTCTGAAGGAAAGGAAGAGGATATTCACCAACTTGGGACTAGAAATAGAACTTTAGAGACTAAGCTAGCAGTGAAGTGGCCTGGTCACTTTTCTAAACTCAGGTTTCTTGGCAAATTAAAGAGGTCAGGATAGAAAGAGAGAACCACTGGACAAAGTGCTGATTCTGGCAACCAAGATGAGCAGGTAAAGTTGTAAAATGATTCTACTTCTTTTTTATTTCTTTGTGAACTTCACAAGTCAATATTGGCTAAAGTTCACAGAATAGTTCTCATTAGTAATTTGAATTAACATAACTTTAATCAGTGAGGACACCAAGGGTTCCTTCTTATTTTTTTCTTGCATGTAGCATAACAGTTGATCCTGACAACAAACCAATGAGGTTGGTATGATTATAATTTCCATTTTACAGATTAGGCAACAAATGAAAGTCAGGGAAGTGAAGTGATTGTCTATTCTCATGTAGCATATTTAGGAGCAAAGTTGAACTTGGCCATAGATTTGTGTGTGTGTGTGTGTGTGTGTGTGTGTGTGTGTGTGTGTGTGTGTTGTTTTCATCCAAATCCTGTTTTGTGGCATGTAAAATGCCTTGCAGGATGCTGGTAACAAGCCTGAAAGTCTTGTTCCACTCATGTTTTTTAAAACAGATATAACTTCCAAATTCTTCTACTCTTCCAGTTTCAACTTTTACTTTTCTTTCTTTTTAATGACTTCACTTCTTTTCTTCATTCTTTTTTTCACTTTTTCTACTTATGATCCTTCTCCTGTATCTGCTGTTCCCTTTTTTAGTGACATTCTTTCCCCCTCTTTCTTTCCCAAGAATCTTAAGTTTTCCCCATCTCTTCCTTCTATGTTCCATGACCTTAAGGTAATAAATACCAGTTAACACTGTCAGGGATATGTACTCTCTCTCTCTCTCTCTCTCTCTTTCTGCTCCCCTGTCTTTCTAGTCTCCCTAGTCGGAAGACGTATAAAGGTGTCAGAGCAGGAGCCATTCTGATTTTGAAAAAGGCTTTAAGAGTGCACTTACTTCTTTTTTCACAAGGCACTTACTTTTCTTCACAGGGAATGAATCTGTTTTCCTTGTTTTTACAGTATCCAAATTTATTTCCTTTTTTATTCATCTTGTAGCAGATATCATGACTTTCTTTTGCTTCTGGGGTACAAAATGGTATGATAACAGTAGAACAATGAAAGCATGAATATCATGAATCATAGAATACCTTATTTTTAAATGCAATTAAACTTTCAGTATCATGTCATATCATATGGTGGTGAAGCAGAATGGAACAAATAAGTCATTTTAATACTATTCTTTTGCCTCAGGGATATATTTTAGGATGGAGCAGTGATATAAAAAAGTAACAAACGTATATGACTCATATATTAAGATATTCAGTTAATACTGGAGGTAAGATCAACTAATACTAGAGGTAATATCCAGAGAAATGCTAGGTAATATCTTGGAATAATACCACAAATGGCATTATTCCAGTCTTGACTCAGTTCCTATAGGGCAATAGCATAGAAATAAAGGCCATTATCTTTATCAATCATTCACTGTGATTGTCTCTCACCATCATCAAAAAATTCAGAGCACTGATCATCCCGGGTGGGACATTTCCCCATGAAGCAGTAGCCTTGTGCATTCTTGCAAGGAAATCCATTGACTTGAAATCGATCCTTAGGACATGCCGCGGAATGGCCAGTACACACTTCAGGAAAATCACATTCATCTGTTGCTAGTCTGCATATAGACCCTGCTTTTTTTATCTGTTGAAGAAAAACAATGAGCCCGAATCTTGGATACATTTAGGTAGGTAAGGTTCAGTTAGTAGACAGAAAGCTGACCCATTTCATTTAACTAAAAAGGCTTTAAGGATGTATCATAACTTCCTTCTTTACCCCACTGAGAATTTTTATCATTCATAAATGCCTCAGCTTTGATGTAATTTTAGGAATCAAAAGATGGTGTTTTTAAGATTTTGTATTAGAACAGGCTTAGGTAAAGCTGAAATGGACATAAAATGGAAAAAATTATCAGGTATTCTCATTTATGTTGGATTTTCTTCATCTGAAGGAATCCAGTAGATGCCATTTCTCCTGTCTATAATGAGGCATTTTTATTCCCACGAAATCATCCATATGAACAGAAGGAGAATACCTTGACTCGTACTGCTAGAGGGAACTGCATAAAGATAGTCTCTCATTCAGCCATTCAACATACGTTTAACGTGCTGGGTCTGGTTGGTTTTGAAGATGCATAAGACATATTTCTATTCTTTAGTAAGTTTACAATTCAGTAGGTGTGGGAAAAGTGTTAATAAGCCCTTGGACAGAACTATTTCCGGTTGTCTTCCCTTACATTATTTTTCAACCTACCAGCCACTACCTCTTTCTAGTCCAATATCATCCCTTGCCCTTTTAGTTCACTCCTGTAGGAATATAAACTACTCCAGCTGAAGTTAAACAGATTGGCAACGATTTACAAAAGAGAAAGAACAGAGCTGATCATGTGACTTCCCTCCTGAAACACCAAGTCCTGCTTACAAGTCTTTCTGCTCCCCAGACCATAGCACCACACAATGCTCGGACACTGGGACATCTCAGAAACTTCACCGTTGGGTAATTGTAAGCCAACTCCTATTCTGGAATCAGTGGTGTAGGGTTGTCCAATAGTGAGACAGCTCTTGGATCCTACATATGTTTCAACTGAAAGCAGAGATACTCTCTCCCAGCCAAAGACCTTACCTGACATGATTCACAGCATTCTCCTTCTGCACAAGTAAATCCTGGCTTGAGTACACATCTATGTGCATCACAGCATGGATTAGTGCACTCCTGGCAGTAATCAAAAATAAAAGATTAGAAATTGATATGTGCTTTGACTCTTGTTTGAACAGTTAATTAGTTGTGCTTCTATGTAATCTTTCAGAGTTAAGTACTAATGCGTGATCCTTGGCCATGATGTAGAGATGAAGATCAGTGTTTGGAACTGGTATCTGGGACTTTAACTGTGTTTCTTTCCCTCATGCTTTTTAGTACACCACAACTAATGGAACCTTACCTGTAGATTATAAAACGCAAAGTTTCTGATCTTCCATTCATTCGCCTGATGATCTCCATTCCCTTGAAGGGTCTGGCTGCTTCCCTATGCTAAAGTGTGATATGAGATCATACCACTTCTGAAGATCTGATTTTACTTTTTGCTGAAGGTTTCAGGTATTTCAAACTGGAATGTCTTTATTTAATGCATCGTGAAATAATAGCATCAGGATGGTCACTTATGCTCTATCTCTTTAAACAAAATTAAAACCATAAAGGAAACTGTCTGTGTCTAGTCAGGTAAGAATGTGTTAGAATGAAATGGTAGAACCATTGCAAAGAATGCGCAAGACAAGATGATCTGTCTCCAAAATTAAGAACCTCTTCACATTTAATCTGAATTATTTGAAGATATACTTAGAACTACAGGACAGGTCACCATCCCCACTCTGATTATGCAGACTCTAACTGCTGTCCTATTAGACCTCTTTGAAGTGTGCAGTGTCCAGAGCGTAGGTACTAAAAATGCTGTTCTCCAACCAGTGGCATCAGCATCACTTTATAGCTTGGTGGGAATGCAGAATCAGCCCCACTCCATGCCAATGGACTAGGACTCTGTGTTCTAATAACATTCCCTGGTGGCTTATATGCAATTACTAATTTGAGAAGAACTTTTCTAGAACACATACCTATATGATGAGATCTTGAAAGAAATCACTTCTATGTTGGGGAAAAGCAGATTAAGAATTACTTTAAAATTTGCCTAAAGGCTTTTACTAAATGTTTCAACGACCAAGATGACAATAAATATGTGAAAGGTTAGAAGGTTTCTGCTCTATTAAGAAAGAGTTTTCTAATAACAGGAACTGTCCAACTGTGATATAGCCTCACCTCATAAGGCTATGAGTAAAACTCATTTGACTAAGAGAGATTTTGTAGAGCAGATTCCTACAGACTTAAGGACACTCATGAGCCCTTCTCACAAGAAGAGCCAATTAACACATAAGCCAAGCAAATGTGATGTTGCTGATCTCCAGCAAGATCATTATACATGATTCATCACTTGGTAAGAAGAACCATTAGAATGAGGTTGCACCAACCACTTTTTTTTTTCCAAAGGGAGAGAAAATAGCAGACTTTTTTTTTTTTTTGAGTTGGAGTCTCACTCTGTCACCCAGACTGGAGTGCGGTAGCTGCTCCCGGCCACCGCAGCCTCGACCTGCTGGGTTCCGGCGATCCTTCCTCCTCAGCCTTCCAAGTAGCCGGAATTACAGGCATGCGCTACCACACCCGGCTGATTTTTTTGATTTATTGTAGAGATGAGGTCTTGCTGCCCAGGCGGGTCACAAACCCGCAGGCTCAGGCAATCCACTCATCTCAACCTCCCAAAAGGTGCAGGATTACAGGCTGAGCCACCGAGCCTGGCTAGCAGACATTTTTTAAAAAGCTTTACAAGGAACACCATGACTGATTTGCTTAATGATCACATCCCTGCCTAGATGGTAGATGATCATGAACTTTACAATTTAAAGACAGAATCATTTGCAAATACCTGAAGAAGGCCACAGTCACACTCTTCTCCCTCATCCAAATTCTTGTTTCCACAATATTGGAAATCATTGAATTTGTCAGGAAATGGAATATTGAACATACACATTGGCTCATAGTTCTCCAGGTATTGCTTGTATTGGGTTTGACTGCATTTGCTGAATTTGAGTGCAGGAATGCTGTCGATAAGACAAGGTAAAAATAAAGATTAATCATATCAATGCATAGTGTTACAGCAGCTGTGAAAGTTTTATGAAGCAATTAGAAAAGCCAAATATAAATGTTCACTGTTAGAGCAGAGCAGGAACTACGTTCCTTTTCATTGGAAATATCTTCTAAACACAGCTAACTCAGGCTATTTTAGTGAAAATACACTGGCTATATATGCTCCAGCAAATCCTTCCTGAAGCCCACGGTTATGACTGGTTGTCTGTTTGCTGCTCCTGTATCTTTTTTTATTTGGTCGTCCTGAAATTACCACTTATGTGTTTATCTTCCTTGCAAGATTACAAACTTCTCAAGGCGAGGACTGTATCATGTCCAATTAAAAAAAAAAGCAGTTAACACAGAACCCGGCACAGAGTAGTTCTACATAAATCTTTTCTTTTTTTAAAAAACAAACTACTTAACAGTATCATGCATATCCCTAGGTATGCAATATACTTGTTCTTGAACTGAAATTCACCTCCTTGTTGTCTTCTTTTTGCTTTAACAGCCTTGACATTATTATTGACATCATAATTAAACACAGAAGGACTATTAGAGTCTTGGTTAGATGGGATCGGGATGTGAGACTCTGAAAATACTATTAATGTTATGTAGATAATGCTATTATAATGCATACTATTGTATAGATAATAACGTAAAGTTACATATCAGTTGCTGAGTTCTTACTCTGTGCCAGTCACTGCATTTGGGTGTGTTAGCTACCTTACTTCCTTTAATTAATCTGTGGAAACATTGATCATCAACAGGCATGTTTCTTACTAAATACATGCATTATGTGTACCTTCTGTGACAGCATTGAAGATGGACAAGAGTTAGGGCCTAATTGCAAGGCAAGTCACAGTATATGGAGGAATGTTGGACATTCATTTATTCTGTAACTTTGGAGTACCTAGCATGTGCCTGGACATGTTCTAGAACGATGGTTATCTAACAGTGACCAAAACAGGCAAAATCCCCTGACCTCATGGAGTTTATACTCTAGTGAAGGAGTAAACTTATAAATAAGCTAATTATGCAAAACATTAAATATCTTAGATATTGATAAGTACTAAGGATAAAACAAAACAAAGAAAAGGGGTGAAAATGTCAAGATATGTGGTGTGATGAGAAGTCACTGAAAAGTTGATCAGATGGCTAGGGAAGATTTTGCTGGAAATGACATTTAGGTAAAGATGTGAAGAAGGACAATACAGCTTATGGCAAAGATGACAAAACAAGGTAAGCACAGTCTATTCCTCCCCTGAGTGTCTTGGTAGAGATTGGTGTTAATTACCCACACTGTAGTTTTGGGATGTGCCCAGGTGGAATTTTAGAATTTCCCCCACCATATCAATAGAGAGATACTACCAGATGAGAAGACTTAACCCCAAAAGGGAAACTTTTTTTTTTACCATGCCTAGTTTTGTAATAGACCTTTCAGGAAATTTCACAGCATAACAATATATCTTATAGTAACAGAGTTTGATTCAAAAACTACCCCCAAAATATGTAAATAATTCTTTATATTGTTTGAACCTCACCTTCCACCACTATCCATCACGCATTTTCCCAAAGGGCAGGTGCATGGGAAGTTGTCATGCTGCATCCCAAGGTTATGCCCCAACTGGTGTGCCATTCCATTTGCAACTATATTTATGTCAGGTAAAAGATCCTGAAGCAAAAAAATGTGCATTAGAAATTTCCAAAATGTAGTACACAATGCTTTAAACTAGTGGTTAAAAGACCTGGCTTCTATCACCTAGTTAACTAATATCTATTTGAGAAATCATGAACTTAGTTATTTCTTTCCCTCGAATCTCAGTTTCTTTAATTCTATAAAAAGGTTGGGAAAATTACTTTTAAAGTATCTCTAGCTCTATCATTTTGAAATCTTTTTTTGTGACATAGTAAAAGTCATTGCTGGATTTACATAAACTCATTCTCACAAATAGCTAAAACTGTTAACTATTAACTATGGGTTGTGTCTCTCTAAAATTCATATGTTGAAGCCCTAACCCCAAGGCGATGATATTATAAGACAATGCCTCTGGGAGGTGATTAGATCATGGGGATAGAACCCTCATGAATGAGCTGCGCTTATAAGAGAAGCTCGAATGAGATCCCTTAATCCATCTACCATGTGAGGACACAGCAATAAGGCTCCAACCATGAATTAGAACGTGAGCCTTCATCAGACACTGAATCTATGGACCTTGATCTCAGACTTTTCAACCTCCAGAATTGTGAAAAATACATTACTATCATTTATTAGTCACCTAATTTGTAGTATTTTGTAAAATAGCCTGAATGTACTTGGAAAATGTATAAGTATATAAGTACTTATATAAGTAAATCCTATATAATATAACAGATATTATTATCTTCTCAGAATTGGGTAGTCAAAAGGGATAAAAGTAAAAGTAAGTGAAGATCAGGAATAAAAATAAAATTAAACAAGGTTCTTGTTTTCAATGTATAGTTTCACATTACACAGCAATACTATACAACCTTGAAGAGGAAGTTTCTGTTATGAGTAAAACCTATATAAAATCCATAGCAGACCTGGTTGCTAACTTAGTCTATAGTCCTATTTCATGTTTTAATTTCTATATTAATAAAAAGATTAGTTTTCAAAGAGGAGCGCAGTATCCTTCTATTGTGAAGTTAATAAAATACCCCTAATTTGGTTATTTCATTTCACTCATGTGAAGCTTGAAATGTGTCCTAGACAGGTTATAATATCATAGTTGAAGTAATAACAGCCTATATCAGATTAGATTGACTCTCTTATCCAAAATTCTGTTGCAGAAATACCATATGCAAAGCTATAAGCATAAAAATAACTATAAAATAAGTTACATAGTCATTTAAATAAGTACTAACTCTTAAATTTGAGGTCTTAACAAGATGGGACTGAGCATCACAACATCCAGGCAGAGACAAAAAGGAATACAAATCTCTCAGGCAGGGTTATTTAGTGTTTACTAGAAGCTTAGAGATGTGGAAAAAATTAAATAAACAAGGAGATTCAACAGTTTATAGGTCTTATGCTTTCTACAAATGAATTGCAAGGTTGTCTTGATATGAGATATTAATTGGTCATGCATTTTATTATCAGCATAAGAACAATTATCCTCACTTGCTAAATCAGTCATCAAGTTTTATGTGCATTACTCGTCCTTATAAATAGGTATACTTCACATGCAAAAGAACTTTCCCAATCATGGCATGTTGATCTGTATATTATATCCTTTAAAACTCTGAACAACTCTGATTTACCTTAATTATTTATCTATAATTTTTATAAGACATTTATTTTCTCATTTAATAGTAGCACACTTCATCCCATATCTTGGTGGGAATATATGACAAAATACACATATGATGTCTTTCAACAGGACACAGAATACTACAGAAATTTAATTCACACTTTTTGATTAAGTAATATAGCATAAATAAAACAGCCTACCTTAATGACACTGGAAGAATAGTAGGGCAAGCACATACCCGCTGGATAAGACATTCCTTGCGAATGTGCATACAGCCACTTTCCACTATAAAATAGATACAAATAAACTTTTTTTAAAAAGACAGGATTTTGCTTTGTCACCCAGACTGGAGTGCAGTGGCATAATGACAGCTTATCACAGCCTCGAGCTCCTGGGCTCAAAGGATCCTCCTGCTGCAGCCTCCCGAGTACCTGGAACTATGGGAATACACCACTTCGCCCAGCTAATTTATCTCTCTTTTGTAGATACAGGATGTTGCTTTGTTGCTCTGGCTGGTCGCAAACTCCTGTGCTCAAGCAATCCTCCTACCTCGGTCTTCCAAAGTACTGAGATTACAGGCATGGGTCATCATGCCCAGCCAAAAATTATACTCTTAACTTAGAGTGAGGCATTGAATTAACATAAACATCAAATTGTAGTGAACCACCACAATGCCAGTGCCTTTGCACATGAAAGTGCTCTCTTATTTTTGGAGTTCTAGAATTCAGGCTGACCTTAGTTAATATTGATTTCATCTTTAACCTGTGATATACTAAAGGCATTAAAAAAGTGAATGCTATTTAAATTGAAATAGCAGAAGCTGGGTTTGGTGGCTCAGCCTGTAATCCCAGCACTTTGGGAGGCTGAGGTGAGTGAACTGCCTGAGCCTGCGGGTTCGAGATCAGCCTGGGCAACTTAACGAGACCTCCTCTCTACAGTACATAAAAACATTAGCTGGGCATGCCAGTGTGGACCTGTAGTTCCCAGTGCTTGGAAGGCTGAGGTGGAAGGATCTCCTGAGCCCAGCAGGTTGACACTGGGGTGGCCATGAGTGCGCCACTGCACTCCAACCTGGACAATGGAGTGAGGCTCCAACTCATAAAAAATAAAAAAAATTAAAAAAATAAAAGAAATAGCAGAAAGATATACTCAAAGAAAATAAATGTCAGAATCCTATTTTGCTTGAGTTTTGTCTATCCTACACTCAGGTCTGGATAAAAGCACTTACAATAAATAAATTAATAATAAATTCATAAACTATTTTGAAGGAAAAAAGTAACATGATGAATGGACTTAACACCTCGATCAATGAACTATAGTTCAATTTTTTAAAAACATTTAATCAGCCATAGAAACTCAGATTATTTGACGGCTACAGTGAAACATTTAAAAGAGATGACTGCTCTTGGATTACCTAAAAAGACACAGGTAGATGTGTATATTATAAGGATCCAAATCTGGTTTGATTTCAAGAGCAATCAGAGTTGGGCCACTTTAAGAAGAGCCATTGGGGCTGGAGGATCACACCTGGAATGTGATAGGACTCAAAGACAGGAAGGATGGTGAGACTAGATGGTCCCTTTCGGTCTTTTAAGTTTTTGATTGAGAAAATATGCTCTATGACTGTCTTTATTGTTGAAATCTTTGTGTCTCTACATCTTAAGCATCAGTGTTGGCTATGCATCTTGGAGGGACATGGAATTCTGGTTCTTTTTCAACTCTGGACATCCTGGGAGATTACCACATATGGCGGTGAAGCACCAGGGGGAGTATAATCTAGAGTCTAGTAAGATTCTTATGGTCATTTGAAACCAAAAGTAATACCGTGATAATGCCACATATACTTTCTTGCCACTTTGAAACCTAAATGAGTATAGCAGGGAAGAAACATAAGAAACCCAACACATAAGTCCTAAATATAATATCCAGTTGAATATTTAGCAGCATTTCACTCTATCTCCTTATTTGCAGACATCTTATTGATACGAAAAACCACTGGTCAGAATAGGAGACATTCTATGGAAGTAAAAGGTAGTCTACTTACATTCATTTAAACATTTTGGTCTTATTTCCTAAGCATTTAAAATACATGTACATATGCATAATGGAATATTATGCAGCCATAAAGAGGGACAAACATATGGACTTCACAGCAACTTGGATGGATTTAGAGTCCATCATACTCAGCGATCTATCACAGAAACAAATAACAGAGCTCCATATGTTCTCACTCATAAGCAGACCTTGAACAATTATCATAATACTATTAGAAAGTGATTGGCAGTAGTGGGAAACTGCCAGGGGAAGGAAGGGAGGGATTGGCAGTTGAGAGAAACTGCTGGTGAGAGAGGGGCACACCTCATTAACAAGGGTACCTGTGTAATGAACATTTGTATACCTAACCCTGAATTGTACACCATATCTTAAAAAAAAATGTACAAGGATGAGGCAAAGTGATTATCCCTGTCCAGTATGAAGTCTATGGTGATACTTTACTATCATAATTTTGGGACATTCTAGTGCATGAATATGTAAACTCAAACCAGGCACAACTATACCCTTGGAGATATATGCTATGAGCCATCCCAGAAAGAAAAATCAGGAATGATGCTGCTTTGGATATCTGGTTCACTCTCATCAGTCTGCCAAAGAACTGGAACTGACCTCTGACTACAGACTTTATGTTTGAGTCCAAATGAAAAGTTAATGTCTAGATAACAATAGAAAGAATATTAGCATGTCATGTTTGCAGACTGTTGGAGAAATACTGAAATACTAATATTACAGGCAATAAGGTAAATAAAGTGGGCACCACTCTAATATAGCAGCTTTGAGGGATCAGAAAAGATATCATTGCTCCAAAGTAATTTTTCTACAATTTAGCATTCCTTAGGATAACAGGACTATGCTAAATATAAGGTTGCATTATGTTCAGTTCCATAATTGTTTATCATCTTCCACTGGGTTAAATACTGTGCTATAGATATTTTGAATAATAAAAATGATTTTTTTAAAAAGGCCTCCCTTTTAAGAGAATCAATGATGGAGTAGTCTAGACTAATTCAAACTTTTGCTGAGGAATATTAAAGCTGTGACAGATTTAATTTATCAGATTAGTTGTCTGTCCATTTATATAGTAGAGAAGATAGTCTTGAAGGGCGGGTCACTGGATAGGCACACTGTAATGAGAGGAAATGCCCAGAGAGTCCAAAAAGAGAGAGAGTGGGGTGCTTTCCCAGAAAGGCAAGTCTGGGTAGAATATTGGAGTGGCATGTATTGGAGGGTGAGGGGAGTTAGACTGGATACTGACAAGTAATGCAAAATAATTCTAAAAGTGCTTACGTAAATGGCATTTTCAACTTTACCAAGGAATATGAAAAAGATAATCAGATTTTTCCTTTCTAGTGTTAATCAATATTAGAAAAAAATTATTAAATAGTCTTGTTAATTTTCTGTATAGCTTGAAAGAACATTTTGTTCTTGTGTATTACCCCAAATTCAAATGTTTTTAAAAGTTTTTGTTGTTGTTCATTTGTTCAGTTTTCTTTTGTAATAATACACCTAAGGTGTGCAGGAACATAGAGTATTCACATACCTGAGTAAAATAGCATGATCAAAGTTCTTCCTCATTTTAAGGATCATTTCTTGCCAAGCTGCAAAACGCAATAAGGTGGTTTCTATATTTGAATGCTGTTCTATTTTATCTCCATTTGTCCATATTTCAAGGCCAACCAATGTCACCTGGATGTTCAAGGTTTTATAAATCTGTTCAAAGGAAAAAATAATTTTTCACAAATTCAAGTTGCTAGAAAAATCCTTCATCATTACTGTATTCCTTTACATTTACAAAAAACCCCAATGATTTTAATTTGTGAAAGACAGAAAAAAATAGTGCAGGCCTCACTTTACAAAGAGATGTATTAAAATTGCACGCAGGATGTATTACTCAGAGTATTGGGTGAATTTCCCTGAAACTTAATAAAAAAGGTCTACCCTTTTAACTACCATACACCTTATAGGCACTGGTCTTGGAATATGTCTAGAAGAAATAATTTATCGAAGTTCTGAGCTTATAACTGGCCTGAAAGTGTGAATTTACTAACAGTGGCAGGCAGTGGAGTGAATACTCTTTATTCACCTTCATGATTTAGGCCAAGAGCTGATTCTGTGGCGGGTTAGATAGTTAGTATTGCTATTCAAAAATTTAGCTAGGCTTCCACGCTTGATCTCCATGTATGATTTGTAGAATTACCTCTTTTTGTGTCTGAGAAACCTTATTGGGGATTGCTCAAGGCAGGCAGAAACAATTGCAGCCCATAAGCCTTCTTACCCCTATTCCCACCTGTTTTGTAAATACCTTGTTGAGAAAAACTTTTATGCCAGGACAAGAGAAAACAGAATTCAGGCAACTATGATGACAATTTTGAGAGTAGGGACTATGTATTATATCGACTTTTTATTCTATAACAGTCAGCCCAGATAGACTGGAAGAAAGAATGAATGATAAACTATGCATACTGAATTTAGAACAGAAATCGAAAAATCATCCATACAACTAGTTCTTAAGAAGTTTAATACTCATATCATTCCTATAATAATAACCTTGTGTTAAGTTTCTACTTCTCTTAACCTGTTGAATAATATACCAAATTTCATGTGTCAATATAATAGCCAAAAAAGGTAATTTCATAGACATGAGAGCCAGGTTCCTTTTAAACTCTCATGGAGTGAGTCATCAAGTCAAACCATGAGCTCAAATCCACACTGGAGTCTGTGATTCTCATTCTTCTTGTCTTGATCTTAATGTGGAATAGACCTTAGGAGTTGGGTCCTGCAGAGCAAGAATTTTAAAATCTGGATTTTGAGGAACTTCTCTATTCACGAGTGGGCTTTATATTCATAAAACTATATGCAAGTGCAAATTAAAATATTATTTGTCACCCTCTGAATGCATTTTCTTCTAGTGAGAATATATCCTATAAAATAAAAACCATATTTTGTCTGCTAAATGCTTGGGTAGCTTTGGATATACGTATCTGGAAACTTGTGGAGAGTTGAATTTCTCTTTAAGTGGAGAAAGAACTTTGAAATTTCTGAGTTAAAGGAAGGCAAAACCATAATAAAAGTCCAAATGAGAAAGAATCCAGTGAATAACGTGTAGAGGCTTTGTGAAAGGTTAGGAGTCAGTAAGAAGTGACACATGGAGGGCTCACAGATTTCTAGACTATGTTACTTTAAATTTTTCATATATAGTGTATTACAAATAGCCAAAATACTACAAACAGATCAAATATCCCTCAATTGCTGAACAATTACTGACCCAAGAGGAGCCATTCCTTACAGCTTCTTCCTATGGAGGACTCTCTTTATCCTAATAATGGAGCTGGGATATCTTAGAAGGTGTCAGTAGAGAAAGCTGTTACAATTCACAATTTTTTTTAGAGTTATAGTTCATTCTAATTTAGACAAATTAATCATTTAAATGTATTTTGCTGAATGATACCAATTTCTGTGCCAAACCATAGGAAATAAAATATAACTTGAGTGCTTTTTGTTATGTAAGATTATGGAGTAGTGATTTTAAGAAATGAGATTTGGTTGGTAGTGATCGGTTTTCAAATTATTTGTGCGCTGCTTAAATTTTGTGACTAGATCAATGTTTGAAAGTTACCTCAATATTAAATGTCATGAACTAAAATGAAAAAGAACTCAGAGCTATGGTTTGCTGCTATTACTTTTTCAATGGATTTTTGCTAATTAGTCTGCTTGTTGAATTTTTGTGTTTTGTGCCTTAAAATCAGGGTGACTCCAATAAAGATACAGCAAAGATCCATCCTAAAAGATTCTTTGCATTTGCAATTTCAGCTTGATTAAAAAACTATGTAAAACCTTACCATGTTGACAAAATTGACCATTCCCCAAATTCGGTTCCTTAGTTTATCGTGAGGATGACTATTCCTACGGTGCTGGAAATACAAATATCATATCAACATTCATTAATAATAGCTCAAACAAAAGACTTTATTATGAGATATTACAAAGAAAAAATCATTTACATAATAAAGAGAGACGATTCCTTCCAGTCAGCTAAAAAACTGCTTATCTTACACAGAAATAAACTTCTGTCATAAAATAACTACGTACAGTAGTAGATAAAGACATGCTTTAGCTTATACAACTTTAAAGTTTTTCTTTATGATGCTGTCCTTTTTTCACATTACATTATTTTACGTTGTATTAATTTATTAAATGGTTGGTTAGTGTTTTTTAGAATCCATTTTTATCATATCGATTAAATAACACCTGCAGCAACTTCATCAGCCCTTCTGTGTCCATGATGGTCACGAATTAAGGACGATGTAATGACAAAAGTACCCTGGAGCCAGAGATGTGTTCAAGATGGTTGGGAAACTGTCTATCCCTTCTCTTCAGGAACAAGCTAAGAGAGAAGCCAAAGCTGACTTTCCTGATTGAGTCTATTCTGACTTTTGCTCTCTCCTTACAACAAATTACCATTTGCACTTAACAACAACAGAAGACGTTGTGTAGAAATAAATGCAAATAGTCAAACTTCTTTTATAATAAAAAATAAACATAACTTTCCTGAGTCATGCAAGTATCCACTAGTTTCCATTCTATTGTTTTCCCTTTGTCTTGAATATCAAAATACTTCTGGGATATATAGCGCTAGAATCCCCTCAATTTTCATCTCTCACCTACTCAACCGACTCTGCTCTGATTTTTATTGTCACTATTCCTTTGAAATTATTTTTGATAGCCCATAAATGTTCTCTTAATTTCAAATGTGTTGAACACATTTTTCTTTCTGGCCACCCTGTCCACATTTAATACTGACCATTTTCTCTGTTGAGAAATTTTTTCTTATCTTGGTTTTTATTACACTACACACTTCTAGTGCATTATTATGGGTTCTGCTCATCCAGTTAAATACAGGATGGTAAATATATTTCATACTAGGGTTTCCATTGATTCATTGATAGAGATTGCCTAAAATTCACTGTTGAGAAAGATTTGAAGGCTATCTTCGGGATCACAGGGATAAGGCACTTTATCAACCATGATTTTTCAAAGGGGAGAAGAGAGGATGGGTAGGTATGAGCTTTGCATTGTTTTTCTCAAATTTTTATTAAATAGCTGGTGTCTCCAAAAATTCATACATTTGTGTTCTGCTCTTCCTTTTCAAGTTGCTAGCTCTGGGGGCACCATCCATATCCTTACTCCACTTCCCAGCTGAAAATGCCTTACATTGCCTTTAAGATATACAAACTCTTCAACATCATTTCCAAAGACTGCCTTGGTTTGTCCTATCCTATTTGTCTGGAATGAACCTAGCATATTGGATGCTCATTATTTGTCAAATGAAAATGGATGATTCACCATATGAACTTCTTTAAATAAAGAAACAAATATTTAAAGACACTACAAATTTAGCATATAAAGAGCTGTGCATGTAAAGCTCAATTTATTGCACCTAAAATCACACTGAGAAAATCTTTTCCTAGTATCTGGAGCAAAATATTCAATTCGATATACTGTTCTTAGTCTTTACTAATAAATATATTATTATTTAAAACAAAGCTTTTGTTAGCTTCTTTTTAAAAGTTAACATGTTCTCATCAACCTGCTAATGTAAACTTATCCCTTGATCTAGTGCTTAAAATTTAATTCATTAAAATAATTTTTTAATAGGTTATTGTTTCTCCATTTATTTATTTATTTATTTATGAGTTGGAGTCTTACTCCATTGCCCAGGCTGGAGTGCAGTGGCATGCTCACAGCTACCCCAGCCGTCAGCCTGATGGGCTCAGGCGATCCTTCTGCCTCAGCCTTCCAAGTAGCTGGAACTACAGGCACACGTTACAAGGCCCAACTATTTATTTATTCATTCATTTATTTATTTATTTATTGTAGAGATAAGATCTTGACAAGTTGCCAAAGCTGTTCTTGAACCCATGGGCTCAGGCAATCCCTTCATTCCAGCCTCCCAAAGTTCTGAGATTACAGGCTTGAGCCACTGCACCCAGTCTTTCCAATTTTTTAATGTGTAAAAATGTTGTATCTTTCTTTTCAAATAAAATATCTTACTTCTTTTTTCTTATTACATTGGCTAAGAATTTTAGAAAAAGGTTGCAAAAATCAGTTGGCAGCAATGCTTCTTATTCACTATTTTGGAGGAAAAACACCAACATTTTATTATAAACTTAATGTATGGGATAAGAATGGGATCAGAATTTGGTAAAAATCCTTTATTTTCTTCTATTTCTTATTTGCTAAAAAAGTTTTATCATAAATGAGTGTGGAATTATATATATGGGGATACCAAAAAATGTATGAACATTTTAGGAGATGTAATCTATATATTACTCTTCAAAGTTGAATTAAATTATGGTAGCAATGTATAGTATGATGTTTGCTCAACCATGCTTCTGCCATTTTCTTTGTAAGAATATTTGAGATATTTGCATTTTAAAAAATCTATTACTGGTAAAGCAAAGTAATATTCACATTACTAGAGTAAAACTTCATTGTCATGTAAACTTTTGGGGGGATACGCAGTGGATTGACTCTAAATATTTTTAGGACATTTGGAGTTGTGTTTATAAGTGAAATTGCTTATAATTTAATTTTTTCATAATGCTGTTATCTGGGTTTATTATAGGTATTGTTATAGATTGTTATAGTAATGACTCTCAAGGAATCATCCCTCTAAATTTCATTCAGCATTAATTCTAGGCTTGGCCATATGACTCATTTTGACTGAGACATTGTGTGTGTTTTTTTTTAACTTTTAATTTTTTATTTTAAAGATGTGGTGTACTATTCAGGGTTAGGTATACAAATATTCATTATGCAGCTGCCCTTGTTGATGAGGTGTGCCACCTCCCCCATCCCCGGGCAGTGGCACATACACGGCCATCTCGGTGTCGACTTACTAGGCTCCAGCGATCCTTCTTCCTCAGCCTTCCAAGTAGCCAGAACTACAGGTGTGTGCTACCATGCCCAGTTAATTTTTGATCTATTGTAGAGACAAGGTCTCGCCAAGTTGCTGGGGCTGGTCTCAAAACCACGGCTCAGGCAATTCACTCACCTTGGCCTCCCAAAGTGCTGGGATTATAGGCTGAACCACCAAAACCAGCCTTCGTATATTTTTTTATTTATATGTAACTCCAATTGCATTTATTGTTATGTTTTGCTTTCTAACTTTACTTCTACATCAAGTTTTTCTAAATACATATTGTCAGAAGTTTATCTGCTTCATTTAGCTTTTCAAAGAACTAATACTTGGGTCTGTCATGCTATTCAGTTGTTTTGTTTTGTCTTTTGCTTGGTTGCTTTAATGTGGCTCATTGCTAAAATTGTTCTCTTCCTTCTGCCTTCTTTGGATTTATACTCTTTTGTTCTGTAATTTCTCCAGTTGGATTCTTAATTAATTTATTTTCTTCTAAATAGGAATACTTAAGTCTACAAATGTTCTAAATACAGCTGTGCCATCTGTATCTAATAAATTTTATCTTTGCAAATCTTTTCTTTTTGCTCAGCTGTATTTTATTTATTTAGCCGATTAATGTTTGGAAATACATTTTACTTTTAATTTCCAAACCAAGTATCTTAGTGGTTTATTTTTTAACATTTTTTGCTATAATTCCTATGTGGTTGTAGAAAAAAACATAATTTTTATGGTATCTCCTTGTTACTTCTATTTATTTCCTTTTGTGGTCAAATATCCATTTAATTCTTGCAAATGTTTTATTGGACTTGAAAAGAATATATATTTCTGAATGCAGGTTAGTTTGCCAATTGATTATATCAAACATATTTATGTGGTTCAAATTTGTTTTTGCTGAAGTTTTTCCTGATTGACCTAAAATTTTCTGACAGAGGAAAGTCAAAATAAATTCTACTTTCTCTTGTAACCCTGTTTTTTTGGTTGTTTGTCTTTTTATACTATGTTGTTAGGTGTATACATATTTTGTTTCTTTCTGGTTATGAGTTTCTCTTTTTTAAGTAATTCCCCAATTTATCTCAAATAATTTTAAAATCATAAATTCTTTTTATATGATATTGAAATTATTTTTACAGCTTTGAAAAAAGAATTAATTTGTTATCCCATTTCTTAATGAGATTTTTTATGTCTCTGAGAGTGTAGGTATATTTCTTGTAAATGTCATAGTGCCTAATTTTGTTTTATACTCATTTTGAGATTAACTTCTAACAGGTAGATATACTTGTTATATTTACTCTGATTTCTGATCTATTTGGAAAGACTTTTACATAATACTTTCTGGTTTTGTATTTACTATTGTGTGTATATTTACAGTCATGCCTCGCTTAATGGTGGGTGTCCTTTCTGAGAAATGCAGTTAGGTGATTTCATCACTGTGTGAACGTCATAGAGTGTGCTTACACAAACCTATATGTTACAACATACTACACTAAGCTGACCATACTAAGCTACATAGTATGGCTTATTGCTTCTAGGCTTTGAACCTGTACTGAAAACCGTAGGTAATTGTAACTGAATGGTAAGTATTGGTGTGTCTAAAGACACAGTCACAAAATACGGTATAAAAGACAAAGAATGGTACACTTATCTAGGGCACTTCTCTAGATATGGAGCTTACAGGACTGGAAATTGCCCTGGGTGAGCCAGTGAGTAAGTGGTGAGTGAATGTGAAGGCCTAAGACATGATGGTACCTAACTGTAGACTTTATAAGCACTGTAAACCTAGGCTTCACAACATTTATAAAAATATATTTCTTTACATCAATAATAAATTAACCTTAGCTTACTAGAACTCCGACTTGGCAATTATGGAAAGGACTCATTTCCAAATTTCAGCCTTCTGCTCCTCAAGAGTTTTAATTCTTCACATCCTTATATCTGTATTATATATATTGTGGTAGCCAATCTTTGAATTTTACTTACTGTTCTGACATACATTTTCTTCTTCATTTTTAGTATTTAGAGGCTTTCAATGTTTTCTTTTGAGCTCAACTATAGATTGCTAACATGTTTTCAATTTTTGTGTGTTTTGCTCAGCATTTCTATAGGTTCAAAAGGGAGAAGGAAATTCGATTTTGGATGAGTCTCTTGGGAAGCTAAAGACAGAACTTTGAGCCCAGAATGAAACCCTGATTAGAATATTTTTTTCTCTATGTTAAAATCATAATTACCCATTTATAAGGATGAATAAAGAGAAAAGATTTATCTGAAAACTTACCACATTATCATCTGCAACAATGAACAGTTCAACATACTTTTCTTCGTGGATGCTCTGTAAATTTATGGAAAATTCAGTGAGGTTTGACTTTGTTTAGTCTTTCAGGCCAAATAAGAGTTATAAATAATCATGAATCTAGATTTTAACATTTAGGATTTGTTTCTTTGTTTGCAAACTGAATGCTTCATAAGTAAGCTCATGTAAAAAGCATCCATCTATAACTGAGAACTAAATTATAAGACAGGTTACTAGGACTGGCTTTATTCCTTCTGCTTCTCTCCGTGCCTCTCATTTGCAGTAGTTTCAATTCTGAGGAAATATTTATTACACGTTGCTAATTATAGGTCTTTTGTTCTGTGCTCCATGTGTCTTTTTTGTTTTAGATTTAGATACAAGTACATGTTTGTTACATGGGTATCTTACATATTGGTGAGGATTGGGTTACTGGTGTTCCCATTTCCCAAATAGTGAACATTGTACCCAATAAATAGCTTTTAAACACTCAGTCCTCTTGTTATAAAATCCCAGTACCTGGCAGTTGTTCTAAGTTTTCAACTTTCAGTGTGTATGCACTGATCTACATATGTGTTCTTTAAGGACAAATCAGAGGCATATTGTTCAAAGATTTCACTAAGTAATTCTTCTGTAGACTCAGTAATCATTTATTTGTTGATTTATTTAACCAAGAAACATCTATTAGGCATCTAGTATGTTTCAGATGCTGTATGAACTATGGACATTCAAAGACAAGAAACAATCATGTAACTTAACATCTAGTGGACATTTAAGGGGCTCTAGATTAGTTGTATAGAAAAGTCTAAAACTTAAGAGGACTGTGTTCATGCAAATATCTCATTAAAAATTGAATACTTATTTTATCCCTAATAGTCCTCAACCTTTAAAACATTTGGCTTGATGAAAGGGGGAGAGCATGACTGGTCATCAACTCCCCCTAAAATGGTAGGAAAGATAAGGACAGACAAGATCTAGGATTAGATTTCAGGACATTGCAAATTTCATTCTTTCTATCTACTTATAACCCCAATGCTGTCAATCTTTATGTAGGGTTGTAGGTATCTGCCTTTCTTGAAATTGATGAAACAAACTGAGACTTACTTTAATGAATAGACACTTTTTACATAGGTAACAAAAACAAAAGTTTGAATTTCAAATTTTAGATGATGAAGTGCCAGACTCAGAGTGGCAAATACATTTCACTAGCTGGACTCATAATCCCTCCCTCAAGAAAATAAGAGGTGTTTCTCCTGGGGTAAAGATGATTTAATAATAAGGTACTCACTTTCATTTCGAGGTCTTCCTTTGATTTAGTATCCCCTGGGGCAGTTTTCCTGGTAAAATTAAGCTCTGCACAAGAATAATTGGCAGCATACGGCACCCTTGGGTTATATTTGAACACAAAATGGTCTCCCTCATCTGAGTATTTCATCGGTTCAATGAGATATCTTTGCTCAGATATTCTGAAGAATCCTCTGTAGAAATTGGGAAAACAAAGGGTATTCAAAATTTATAATTTCTTGATATCATTTTTGTTGACTTTGCCCTTTCAAGAAAGGAAAACTACAAAGCCAGTGCCTCATAAGCATGTAGCTGTGTGCTTTCAGATGTAAAGAAAAGTGACAACATGTGGCCTTTGAATTAATACCTTTTTCTAAGAGTTAGTTTGTCTGAATTTTCAGAGGTTTCACAGTCCAATTTCTGCTTTGGATGCAGGTAGAGTGGCAAGTCCCACTGGTAGATGCGGACCACTGGCAAGTCTAGAGTTTTTACAAATTGAATTTCTATGTCCTTCATGCATTAGTTGTAGAGAAGTGTATGAAAATAAAAGTACTACTATGAGATAGTTTTGTCATTAAAGAGGTTTTTATTCTTGAAAATATCGGGAGCTCAAGTACATTTCCCATAAATGAAAACATAAGTTCCGTGTTCTTCTGCCTTTGACTACTCCATACCAGCCTCCTTTGTACCTGAGTCCATGATCTACAGATAACTATGGCCTTTACCTTTGACTTTCAACTTACTAGAGACTGGAGCCAGCCTGATTTAGTAAAAAGCTAAACTGTAGTGAAAATTCACAGAACTAGAAGTCAAGGGATCTGGATCTGGGGCACAATTCTTCCATTAGCAAATGGAATGCTCAGGAAAAAAAAGTCTCTAATTTCAGTATCCTGATTTATAACATGAGAGGACAGCCTAGATGATTTCTGGTAATCTTCCAAATCTGAATCCTTTGCTAATATATTGCAAAACTTGTCTCGTTCAGAACCGTGCATTGGACAACTTTTTGTCAAAACATAAATCATAGACTACAGCTGATACTCACAGTTAAAAATACACAGGAGCTTTTTTCCCATTAATTTTTCTATTTGCCAGGGTTGACAAAAAATAAATAAGTGGCGTGAATGTCTTTGAAGAACTGCAGAAAAACTCATAAGGGAAAAAGAAAGATACTTTGCATTACCTAAGACCATTACACGTACTGATACTGACAGCTGAATCGTCTTCATGTATAATGAATCCTTGGTAAAAACAATGATCCTAAAATAGAAGAAAACTCTATCAATATATGTATAAATATTGTTATTATTATCAATATTAATATCTAAATATTTTCTGTTCAGAATGTATCCGTATTTCATTCTAACTAATTATATTTATACTTGTTCATGCATTTATTCATTACACTCTTTCATTTTAAAATATTTGAGCATGCTTTAGAGACCTTTTGCCTTAATGGCACGATTACTTTGTGTAAAGCAAGGTATGGATTCTTTCCTTACAAATATAATAGTCTACTGGGCGATGATACTAGTTTCAGAAATGTGACTCTTTTCCTCAGAAATATTAGTTCTTTAATCCATCCTAAATTTTTAACCAAACTAATCCTCTGGTGATAATATTACAATTTTTCCTAGTTGCCTATGGAAACAAGCTTTGTGTCTGATAATTGCTAAAATTAGGTCTTGCTCTCCAGTCAGTTCCCCTAATGCCTTTCTCTCTAGCCTCTCTGCTTCAATCAAGTTGATATCTTTATTATTACTCCCTGCTTGATGCTCTACCTGTGGTAATCCTACCAGGCAATTATTTTTTCACATCATTTCCATCTGCTCAACTCCTGCCTATGAGCAACACTTTCCATGGTCCTCCAGGGACCTCACATCTTCACAGGCTAATAACCACTCTCAGTATAAAAGAAGGTTACCTCGTTTTCTTCCTGTTCTATTTTACAGGATTGTGAAAAGACTTAGCTCTCAGAGAAGTTGGCAGTTGCTTTAAATAGAGGAAATCTATTTTTTAAAGTATACTTTTTTGTAAGAAAAAGAAATGTTGTTCTTGAATAGAAGAAGGCTGCAGAGGGCATGCTCTGGAAGGGGAATGAGGGTATAAAAATAGAACCTATATCCACTGGAATAACATCAATGATAAATGAACCATGACTTCATGTGAACAATAAAGAGGAGGTCTAAATGTTGTTGCATCAGAAAGACTGGGCAAAGGGGCGAGAATCACCTAAGGATCAATATAACGGAGATTTTAAAGTTGCTTCATACTTTAGATTGTATCCCATTTAGCTTGACCACTTTATTCTTTTTGATGACCTGCTTACTCTTCTTCTAAACTTAACACCATACTGAGTGTACAGAAGTCAGTTTGGTTAAAACAAAACAAAACAAAACAAATTACTAGTCATTGATTTACTTGTTAGACAGTAAGCAGCTCTACTTAGGGTCCACAGGGTCAAATTTTCTACTGTAGTATTACTTGGTGACAGGTATCAATTCAGAATTAATTTCTGACATAGCACTTTCTAGAGCAGCAAAAGCTAGAGTTTGGTTTTAAAATCACATTAGGAAATTATAGTTTTAGAAAAGAGACATAGGAAAGTTCCATAAGATACCATGATCTGAGGATGCCTGGTGAGCATTTCTCCATTTATGTAGTAGTATGTTTCACTGTAATTTGAGGCCAGGAACTCCCTGAAAAAGAGGACAGAGAAGTAGTGAGATTTATTCTAAAACTCTAACAGTTAAAATCAATCATGTGCTAGAGAAGCCTTTGGGTTGCTTTCAAGTCTCAACAAGGTCCTCTTCTACTCAAAACAGAACATCAAAGCCAAGCTGACTCATATGAAAGTCTTCCTACATGAATTTCATGGTTTTAGAAAGATTATGGAAAGCCAGAGAACTTCAGACAATTTTTGTAAAGCAGGATTGGAAAACGTTATCTAAGTAAAAATCTATCTGAGAGCCAAAATTAATACAGAAAAAATGTGATGCATATATTTTAATATATAAACATGAAGACTGCATATTTAGATAAAACAGTACGTATTAATTATAATAAATTCCCACTAACTCATGCCATATTTGAAGTTGAACCCAATCTCCATCCCTTAGTGCAAGACCGACCTATTGCAGTGGTACCTATAACCTATTACAATGAATAGTCTGCCTTACTGTGTTTTTAACAACTACTACTGAATAGTTTTTTTCTTTAACATGCCTTTGGACTACCCCTGGCCATTTCTTGATCTCACCCTCAAAATGAAAAATTTCATTTTTGAAGTGCTTCAAAAGCCAGTTCAAAATACACTTCCTGACTCATACAAGCAGATTTTGAGATTTCTTCCTGTATATGTATATTTCACACTTCCAGAGATCTTTATTTCACATCTACCACATTTTTATCATGTATCATAGAAGTCATCAAGCTTTTTCTGTAAAGACCAAGATAAAAAATGTTTGGCCTTTGGGAGGCTGAGGTGAGTGGATTGCCTGAGCCCGCGGGTTCGAGACCCGCCTGGGCAGCGAGACCTCATCTCTACAATAAATCAAAAAATTAGCTGGGCGTGGTAGCACGCGCCTGTAATTCCGGTTACTTGGAAGGCTGAGGCGGAAGGATCGCCAGAGCCCAGCAGTTCGAGGTTGCGGTGGCCGGGAGCGGCCACTGCACTCCAGTCTGGGCGACAGAGTGAGACTCCAACTCAAAAAAAAAAAAAAATGTTTGAGGCTATATCGGCTGTATATGGTGTCTGTTACATGTTCCTTGTTTTTTTTTTTTTTTAGTTTGTTTTTACTCCAAATATTTCAAATTTTTAAAAAATTATTATTTGGTTGGGCGTAAACATACATAAAAAACATGCTAAAGTTGGCCCATCAACAATCATTTGCTTACCGCTGAGGTATTACCATATCAGTCTTCAGTGTTACCTGTGAACTACTTTAGGGAAAGGACTTTTTTTCTAGTATCTTTTTTTGTATCTTTCTGGTTCTTAAGACAGTATTTGGAATATTAGGACTGTCCAAAAAAATAAATGCTGAACTAATGTTCAAAGTAAATTAAATACAGAGTTTCATTCCTGCTGTGACTGAATGAGCTACTATCAGAAAGACATTTGGTATATAATAATTTAGTTCTGGACAGCACACAAAAAGCAGTGACCTAAAGGACTGGGTGCTGAACAAAAACAGGCATATTCTGGAGGAACTTCAACGTATGGAATAAGGCATTGCATGAGGTGAATTTTCTTTTTTCACAGCCCTTAGCCTGAGATCAGGTTAGTCTGCCTTATCTTTATATGGCTAAACCTCTGCTAGAAAACCACAGTCATCCTTATTTGAAAAGCTGTATTAGAGTTTGAGGTAATCATAGTCACAGGAATTTTTTAAGCAGTAATCATGGAAATAATGAAAGAAATATGAGAAAATACTTGTCTCTAACAAACTCAGCCTCAAACTCAGAATTATTCCTGAGTCATGGCTTACGAGGGGTAGATTAAAAGTAGCGCTGCTAATAGAACAACTAAACCAAAATTTAAACTGCCACCTTAAAGACAATGTGTAGTCTGAGCTCAACAAAGTTAATAACCTAATAGAATGAGAGTATCTGAATGCTTCAGTAGAACATTACAGAATCCAGAGTTCCTTTTGACATAGCATTCAAATTGTAAAGTACATAATCCAAATTTACAAATAATGAAATATGAAATTTTGAACTATTGTCAAGAGAAAAGACAATCAGCCAAGAACTGCCTCAAGTTAATCCAGAAGTTTAAATTATAGATGAATATTTTAAAGCAGCTATTATAACTATACTGAACAAAATGGAAGAAAATGTTTGAAGTGCATGAAAAGATATTAAACCTCAACAAAGAAATGGAAATTATATTTTAAAATAGTGAATTGAAAATTTTCCAGCTGAGAAACGTGTTAAATATTAGTTTTACTTAATAGGCTTAAAATCGGAGTAGAATTTATAAATGAATGAGTTCATAAACTCAATGAAATATCAATAAAAATTACCTAAACTGAAAAAGAGGCAGAAGAAAAAGAGCAGAGCTTCAGAGACATGTATGTTACATCAAAAGTACTAGCATACTGATAATTGGAGTGCTAGAAAGTGGAGAAATAGTATGATAGAAAAATAATAGCTGAAAATGTACTCAATTTGGAGAAAGACATAAATTATAATTTCAAGAAGCTCAACAAACATCAAGCAAGATATATACAAAGAAAATCACATCTTTGCACATCACTGTCAGATTGCAGAATACCAAACATGAAGACAAAATCTTGAAAGCAGCAAAAAGAAAGACAACATAATGTTTACTGAGAAAGAGAAATTTAAATGACAATTTACCTCTTACTAGAGACAATGCATGCCAGAAAACAGGAGAAGCATGTCAACATCATCTTTTGTTTAAAGGTACAAAATCAATCAACACAGAATTTCATATTCAGAAAAAAAAAGCCTTCAAGAAGGAATGAAAAATAAAGATTGTCAGATAAAAGAAAATTAAGGAAAGTTTTTGTCAGCAGATCTGCACTAAAAAATTGGTAAAGGAAGCTATTTAAATTGAAGGAAATGACAACAGATGAAAAATGGAAATTCTAAGAAAAAAATAGAAACATAAGAAGTGGTAAATAACTGGGTAAACTAAAATATTACATTTTCAATTATACAAGTAAATGTTTAAAGCCAAAATTATAGCTATGCATATGGGATTAATAGTGTATATAAATGTGTAATACACACACACAGATACAGCATAAAAAATTAGTAGTTGTAAATGGCCTTATATGATTGCAAGGTTTTTTAATATGTACATCTATAAAATATAAAAAATAAAATGCATAACTGAAAATATTAACTGCTAGTAATTAATTTTAACCACATGCTATAACCTATAACAAAAGTTAAAACTAATGCAGAGAAGTATTGCTAAAAGCCAGTAGATTAGTAAAAAGCCAAGTTAAAAAATAAATTAAGTAATCTAAAAATCCAAAAGAAAGCAGGAAAAAAAAGACCAGAGGAATAAATAAGAGTACAAAGAAACAGAAATGAAATATCAAATTCAACCACATCAATCACCACAGTTAATGTATTAAACATCCTATTAAAAATCAGAGATTGCTATGATTTATTAATAATTAAGACTCAACTAATTCCCATCATAGAAGAGACATATTTGAAATGTAGAGATACAGATATATTAGACTAGAGAGGCCAGAAATAGTCATTTAATTTTGGCCAAAGTTACCAAAGCAATCCAATAACACAGCACAAGCATTGATTGACTTCCCCATCACATTAAACACACACACACACACACACACACACACACACACACACACACACACACACACGCACACATTCAAGATAATAACAGACCAAAACTAAAAGCTAAAACCGTGAAGTGGCTGGGCTCAGTGGCTGGGCTCAGTGGCTCAGCCTGTAATTCCAGAACTTTGGGAGACTGAGATGAGTGGATTGCCTGAGCCCGCGGGGTCAAGACCTGCCTGGGCAATTTGGCAAGACCTCATCTTTACAATAAATCAAAAATTAGCCGGGCGTGTTAGCGCCCGCCTGTAGTTTCAGCTATTTGGAAGACTGAGGCAGAAGGATCGCCGGAGCCCAGCAGGTAGAGGCTGCTGTGGCCAGGAGCGGCCACTGCACTCCAGTCTGGGCAACAGAGTGAGACTCCAACTCTAAATAAATAAATAAAAGTAAAACCATGAAGCATTTAGAAGAAAACATATGTCAATGTCTTTGTGACTAGTAGGTAGGCAATGTTTCTCAGCCAGGTCCTAGAAGTCAATGACCATAAAGAAAAAGTTTGTTACATTAAAATTTATTTAACACTGTACATTTTTACTCTTCAAAGGATACACAAAAATGAATGAAAAAGTTACAAACTAGAAGAAAATGTTAACAAAAACTATATTTGACAAAAGGCTGGTCTCCAAGTTATATAAAGATCTCCTTTAACTCAATAATAGCAAGAAAAATATCCCAATAAAAATTGGGTAAATATTTAAACAGACAAAAGAAGATATACAAATTGGTCATTGCACATACCAATAAGTGCATGAAATAGTTTTTAACAGGAAACTGAAAATTTAGTCAAAATGAAATATTATTGCAAGTCCACCAGCATAGCTAAAATTTTAAGTAGTGACAATTCTAAATGATGAAGCCTATGTGGAGCAACTAGTATTCTCATACATTTCTGGTAGTTATATAAAACTATACAACCACTTTAGAAAAGATTCAGGCAGATTTTTATAGCACTAAACATCTACATATTTTATGACTCAGGAATATCACTCCTTGGTGTTCACCAAAGTGAAATGAAACCATATGTGTTAAAGACTGTTCAAGAATGCTCACAGAAGCTTTCCTAATGACAAACACTGAAAATAGCCCGTGTCTATCAATAGTAGAATGAGTAGTACACTGCAGTATATTTACACAATGGAATACTACTTGGGGACCTGATGTGGTAGTTCAAGCCTATAGTCTCAGTGCTTTAGGAGGCTGAGGTGGAAGGATCACTTAAGGCCAGGAGTTCAAGACCATCCTGGGCAATAGATTCTGTCTTTACAAAAAAATTAAAAAATTAGCCAGGTATGGTGGCACACTCCTGTAGTTCTAGCTACTTGGGAAGTGGAGGAAGGAGGTTCACTTGAGCCTAGGAGTTGAAGATTGCAGTGAGCTATGGTTGTGTCACTAAACTCCAGCCTGGATGACAAAGTGAGACTTTACCTCCAAAAAAAATCTTGCATTTCTTATTGTGTTTATTTGGATTTTCTCTCTCTCTTTTTTAGTCAGTCTAGCCAGGGGTTCATCAATCTTGTTTATCTTTTCAAAGAAAAACCTATCTGGCTTGCTGATTTTTTAAATATAAATTTTAATTAAAATTTTTTGATTTTTTAATAGAAAATTTTAATTAAGACATTTTTAATAGAAGGAATACTTCTCAAAAAATAAAAAACTAAACTTGATACATTCAACAACTTGAATGAACCTCAATCACGGTATGCCATTTTAATGAAGCTTTACACAAAATAATATTTGCAGTGTGATTCTAGTTTTAAGAATTTTCAAATGGACAAAATAAATCTATGGGGAAAAAACCTTTGTGAAAGGGTTTGAGGAGTATGAAGAAATTTTCTGAGTGATAGAACTGTATTTTTTATAGGAGTTTGGGCAATGGAAGCATGTGAATTTGCCAAAATCCAATGAATGGATCAAGCAATCCCATTTCTGGGTATCTACCCAAAAGTTGTAAAATCAACAAGCCAAGGAGATGTCTATACTCCCAGGTTCACTATAGCAGTATTCATAATAGCCAAATTATGGAATCAACTAAAGCATCCAACAAATGAATAGATAAATGTGATTCATATACACAATGGAATACTGTTCAGCCTTAAAAAGAAGGAAATTCTGTCATTGGTGACAACATGGATGGAATTATATAACTTTATGCTAAGTGAAATAAGCCAGGCAAATACTGCACGATATCTAAAATAATTGAACCCATAGAAGTAGAGAGTAAAATGATGATTACCAGAGGCTGAGGTGTGGGAAAAATGTTGAGATGATGGTCAAAGGGTACCCAGCCTCAGTTAGCCTGGGTGAAAAAATTACTTTTTTTTTTGAGATCTATTGCACAACATGACCACTATATGTAATGATAATGCATTGTTCTTCACAAAATTTCTGAGAGGAAATTTCAAATGTTCTTACTATACACAAAAACAAAATAAATATTTGAGGTGATGGATATGTTATTTAGCTTGATTTAATCATTGCACACTGTATTCATGAATCCTATAATTGGTCGATTTACAATAGAAATAAATAAATTGTATCCATTGTTGTACATTTAAGGTTTATGCATTTTATTGTATGAAAATTTTACACGAAGAGAAAAAACTGTAAACAAGTATTAAACTCTAATGATAAGCCTGTTGAAGCATTTTGGAGTAATATACAATATTGGATTTGGAGCAAAATGCAATATAATTTGAAATGTATGAAAATCAGATGGATGAATGGATGGAAAGAGGATTGGATAGATTGAAAAATAAACTTTAAAACAAGCATAATAAAATGTGAAGGAGCATATGTATAATATATCTTAATGAATCTATAGGTATAATATATATTTTAGTGAGTATATGAAAGTTCACAGTACTTTTTTTAACTTTGCTGTGTGTATAACAATTTTTTATAGTAAAGTAGAAAAATGAACTAGATACAATATGTAAATAGGATACAATTATTTTTGTGGTTATTTCAAAATAAGCTGCTAGTAAATATAAATATAAAGCTAGTAAAGTGCTTGGTTGTATAGTGGATTCTAAATGTGTATTTTCTTGCACTCATATGCACATACAAATGTAACTTTTCATTTATTAATAAAGTTATTATAACGAAAACAAAATTGACCCAATCAATGTTTCCACTGGATGAATAAACAATCTGATTCAACGTTATTGGGCTACAAAGAGTCACTGTTATTTCTTAACACCAGCTTATAAAATAAGTATGCACTGTGATTAAAACCAACCTAAATGCCACTCATAGGGTAAATGTTGAAAAATGTGATTATGGAGAAAAAGACAAACAGAAATTGAAGTTAATAAGATCAAGTTTCTGTTTCTTACCATATTATGAAAACATCTGTCTATAAAATGCCCACAGATTTGAGAGGTTCTCTGGTTTGCATTAAAGTCATTTACTTTGTAGAACTAAGGGAATAAGGCAATATTTCCCATCAGAGATGCTGAAATTATATTTAACTGCTTTATGTGTGTACAATTCTGTAGCATACCACACCAGGCTGATAGTAGAATTAAACAATGACTAAGATGAGACTGGCTACCAGAGGCATAGACAGCATGAGGACATTTTGAAAGCAGGCAGGGAAACTCTGGAGTAATTAGCCTCTTCATGTGCTTGAGAGCATTGTGACCCTGGACAAGTTATTTTTTCAGCACACCTATGAGTCTACCTCAGTTAAGTGGAAATTAAACAATATTTGATTCCTATGGACTTTTTAGGAATTAAGAAATGACTTTGAGAAAAGAGGCATAGAAATTTATCAATAAATGCTAACTTCCTGCATGCTGCAAATGTCAGAATATGTAGAGTCTAAATATGCTATCCATATGGTGTATTTGTGCACATTTGTCCAGTGAAGGATATGAATGGGCAAAGAAGCTTTTTTTAAAAAAATGATTTTGTTGTTTTTAGCTAATAGATGAGAATCTCAGCTGGGCTTGGTGGCTCAGCCTGTAATCCCACGCTTTGGGAGGCTGAGGTGAGTGGCTTGCCTGAGCCCGTGGGTTCGAGACCCGCCTGGGCAACTTGGTGAGACCTCATCTCTACAATAAATCAAAAAATTAGCCAGGAGTGGTAGCTCACACCTGTAGTTCCAGCTACTGGAAGGCTGAGGTGGAAGGATCGCCTGAGCCCAGCAGGTCGAGGCTGCAGTGGCTGGAAGCGGCCACTGCACTCCAGTCTGGGTGACAGAGTGAGACTCCAACTCAAAAAAAAAAAAAAAAGATGAGAATCTCAATCTCCAATAGTCTTCCTTTTCCTTCCTACTTAGCATTTGAAAACTCATATTGCTTTTCATTTTTGGGCCTCTGAGACAGCTATTATGTGTATAAATAGTTGAAAGGAAAACAATAGAAATAAAAACAACAGAAACAACAAAGGTTCTTGTTTGAAAATAGCTAATGAAGAAAGTTAAGAACAATGGAATTATAGTATTTAGCTATAGAAGATATCTTGATGAAGCAAATTCTTCCTAGCTCTTACTGTATTCTCCAATGGAACTTGGATTAACATCCATTCATCCATTAAAATAACTTAGAAATCACTTTAGAAAACATATTTTTCAAATTTCTTTTGTTTTGCTTATTCTCAACACGGTAAGATATCAACCCTCTTCTCGGAGTGACTACAGGAAGCTAAAAGAACCTCAGGTACCCAAGGTAGGAACTAAATTAGGAATTAGAGAACAGCATCTATGATTGTCTTGAAGTTGCTGAAATGCGATGGGCTTATATGTGAAGAGGAAGAATTCCCATTATACAGATAACAGTGACTTGAGGAATCGACTCTACTGGCAGGTTTTAATGAAAACTGGGATACCACAGACTAGTAAACCTATAAGGTGTTGATCATAATAGAACTTACCTGGATCGTAGAAGATGAAGTATTAAGGTTTTTCTGTTTAGTTTTATTTCATACCACAATTCTTCCTCATATGCTTCCTGAAAAACAAGATCCATCATGTGATTTAAACAGGTGCCCATGTCGTGCCTCCTAGGGTGAGCCTTGCTGAGAGTGGAAAGGGATGTTCCCTATTTCCAATCCAGCCGAGTCCTTTCTGAAAAAGCAATCAATACTGATAAAGGTGAATCAAAACTGAGCTAATTTTAAGTTGAAATTTATTCGTTATTTTTTATTTAAAACTTTCAAAGGGATTTTTTTTTTAGTTATGAAGTAAAATGGAAAATGCATGTTTTCCCTTTATTAAGGGATATACCAGTTACTGTATGTACATACAGTTACCCCCTGCACAGATCTCCTGTGTATGTCTTTAAACAGTTTTGTACATATTTTTTATAGTCTACTTTTTATTCAACAATAAATCCTGACAATTCACTATTTAGTAAATGTAATTTTACAGCATGTGTTTTATGGTTGCAAAGAACAATGTGTATTACACTTCATTTAATTATTTATTTATATTTTAATTTAATTTAATTTAATTTTTTGAGTCAGAGTCTAACTCTGTCACCCAGGCTGGAATGCAATGGCGCAGCCTCGACCTGCTGGGCTCTGGAGATCCATCCGTCTCAGCCTTCCAAGTTGCTCGAACAACAGGCACACACCACCACGCCCGGTTAATATTTTGATTTTTATTGTAGAGATGAGGTCTCACCAAGTTGCCCAGGCTGGTCTTGAATCCCTGGAGTCAGGCAATCCACTCACCTTGACCTCCCATAGTGCTGGGATTATGCCCAGCCCCTGCTTTAACTTTTATTTCCTTTTTTAATTTCTTCACATTTTAATTTATTATTAATTTATTTTTTGAGTTGTAGTCTTGCTCTGTCACCCAGGCTGGAATGCAGTGGTACACTAACAGCCACTACAGCCTCGATGTGCTGGGCTCAGGTGATCCTTCCGCCTCAGCCTGTCAAGGAACTGGAACCACAGGCACGCACCACCATGCCAGGCTAATTTTTTGATTTATTGTGGAGACGAGGTCTCACCATATTGCCCAGGCTGGTCTCGAACCCGCGGGCTCAGGAAATCCTCTCACATTGGCCTCCCAAAATACTGTGATTATAGGCTTGAGCCACCATGCCTGACGATCTTTGCCTTCTTATCAGTGTTAGATATTATCATTAATAAGTCTTTCAAATAACAAAATAATAATTTATTGTGATTTTTTTTGAATGATCATTGGCATTGATATTTTTCTTTTGTTTATTTACTTGTATTTTTCATATACATTTCTGATTTGTATCTTTTCTCCATTTTCTTTTGTGGTATTTTATTTCTTCTCAATTCATAAAAATTCTTTATAAGGTTCACAATTGTTTGTCATACACATACGTGTTGCAGATTTCTTTGAGTTTATTGTTTATTCACATACTCAAAAGCTGCTATTTCAGGCTCAGTGATGATATAGAAAATACAATGGTACACAAGACGGAAGTCCCTGCTGTCATGGAAGCCCCAGCTTGGCAAAGAAGAAAACCAGGTAACGAAGCACATGCAATTGAGTGTGATAAACCTCATAGTGGGAAAAATGCAAGGACTGTGCCAGGGATATAGCAAAGAGGAGTCAGGGACAGGGCACCGCACATACCAAGGCCCTGAAGTAGGAAGGAGCTTGACGTGTTTGATGAACAGAGACAAGCTCAATGTTGCTGAAAAATCAAGTGTATGTTGAACACATAGGAGATGAAAGGATAGGAAGGAGTTAAATCATGCATAGCCAAGTAAGTCAAGGATTTGGGCCTTATCTTAAGAGCAAAGAAAAGCAAATTGTCGAGTGGCTCGGTGGCTCGGCCTGTAATCCCAGCACTTTGGGAGGCCGCGGTGAGTGGATTTACTGAGCCCGTGGGTTCAAGACCAGCCTGAACACCTCGGTGAGACCTCGTCTCCACAATCAATAGAAAATTAGTCGGGCTTGGTAGTGTACCTGTAGTTCTGGTTACTTGGAAGGCTGAGGCGGAAGGATAGCTAGAGCCCAGCAGGTTGACGCTGGGGTGGCCGTGAGTATACCACCGCACTCCAGCATGGGCGATGGAGTGAGACTCCAATTCAAAGAAGAAAATAAAAGAAAAGAAAAAGGTCTGGATAGAAACCTGAAGAGGTAAGCATGGTATTTTAGAAGGCTTACTTATTGTAGCTAATGGACCAGCAAAACTCAGTGCTGTAAGACATGGAAACCATTTGAAGTCTATTGATAAGGCAGATGAGTAGAGCAGGGGAAGGAAGAGGGGCAAATGATTTTTTTTTTTTTTTGAGTTGGAGTCTCACTCTGTCCCCCAGACTGGAGTGCAGTGGCCACTCCCAGCCACCGCAGCCTCAACCTGCTGGGCTCCAGCGATCCTTCTGCCTCAGCCGTCCAAGTAGCTGGAACTACAGGCATGTGCTACCACACCCGGCTAATTTTTTGTTTTATTGTAGAGATGAGGTCTCACCAAGTTGCCCAGGCGGGTCGCGAACCCGCGGGCTCAGGCAATCCACTCACCTCAGCCTCCCAAGGTGCAAGACTGAGCCACCGACTGAGCCACCGAGCCTGGCTAGGGGCAAATAATTTCAAAATTATTTACATGGCAGAATCTACAAGGTTTAGTGATGATTTGATGCAGGAGGTAAATAAGAATAGTATAGAATGAACCAAGATTCCTGATTTAACTTTAACTGTGCCGCTATTGCACGGTCTTGAAGAGGGGCCGCTATGAGACAAGGAGAGGAGAGTTTTGCATTTGTTGAGTATGAAGTGTGCATTAGTTAGGGCTCTTTGATTGCAACTTCAACAAAGAAGGACTTTATTATAAAGACACAGAATCCACAGGTGGGTGGGCAAGAAACTAGATGCTCAATCAAAAGAAAGGGTTGGGTTGCATTTTGCAATAAAAAAATGAATGAGTTTTATGTGAAGGGGTGTGTGTGGGGGATGGGGGGACTATTTGGAGAGTTGAAATGTATCTTACTTATGATTTAGAAACCTAACAAGTGAGAAGCTGGAAAACTGGCTGCTCTGATAGCGGAGGGAGAAAAAACTGTTGCATTGAGAACGGTTTGCATTTCCATAGTATATTGGGGCAAAGTGCCTTTCAATATTCTCCATGAGCTTAATTAAAGCCTGATGGCTTCAAATCCAGTACCTCATGATAAATATCTAGGGACATTCAACTAATGTCTTTTATAACAGTGGAAATTGACAACAACCTGATTTTGAAGCTTGTTTTCTCCTATGTACATTATCTATTCTCTACAATAAACATTCATTACTTTTTAAAATAGTATTTTAAATATTTTTGGCATTTGAATAAACATCCTTCTAAGCAACAGGTCAAGCAGGCCTTTTTGTTCCTGTGAATGTCGTCCAACTTTGCTGCAAAAATCTATAAAGTAAATACACTTGCATATCAGATCTCTGGGAAAGCAAAATCCTCAAGACGACATTCCCGGGGTACCAGCTCATAACAGACGAGTTTGTTTTAAGTCAACCTGAAAAGCTGTTGGTGGAATTCCTTTGTAAACTGGAAACTGTAAAACAGTACCCCCCCAAAGCCTGATCTTTACTATTCTATTTTCTAACTCATCAGGACTTTGCTTACTCTCAAGCACACTCTGTAAGCTGAAAGGGAGTCCTCAGAAAAATTGAGACTCCTCTTTTTCTATTTGTTTCTGGTTGGAGCCAGAGGTAGCTTCCTACGTGCCTGTGAAAGCAACACATCTTATTTATTAAATCAAAATCTGTACCGGTATGTCATCATCATGGGTGTGTTCTGGTACAACATCTCGCTTCTGTACCAGCGGAAGCCTTTTGGGACGAACCCGTTCTTGACCCTCTACTCCAAGGATTATCTTTTCTACGAGAAAGCAGAAGGGGAAAAAAATCCATCTGACGTTAACCTTCGTCCACAGGGGTTGAAAAACAAAATAGTTCTCACACAGTTCACTTGCTTTCAGTTAGCAGCCACGGACAGAAACACTATGAAATATCAGGTCCGCTTTACATTTGAGGCAAGACATTTGAGACTGATATGTGCCAGTTTGGAAAATATAAGCAAACATGGGAAGGAGGCAAAGAAATCAGTGTTCCTTTGCTGCTTCCATGTTTTCTCTTTGCTCTGCAGTTGTCATCTTAGTCATTTTTTTCCCTCTGTGTCTGTCTCTGGACAATTGCCTCTTGTTAAAGCCTACACTGGAATGGCCTGTTTCAATGTGAATTACTGAATTTGATCTCCTGGAACTTTTACAATTGAAGTTTTATCTCCTGTACTTACATACAAGGCCTTCACTTGTTAAATAGTTTTAGGTAGCCCTGAATCAGTGTTCAACGTAATCTTCTATTCGTGTCCTATCACCTTGATAGTCATCTGTGAGGTGAGCTGTGGTCCTTAGAGGACTATAAAGAGGAGAGAGCATGGGCTTTTTGAAATTTGTTCTGATTTGAATCAAGATTTTGGCAGATTGTGTGTGTGGCTATGAGTAGCATATCTAATCTCTCTAATCTATCAGTATTAGCTTCATTTTCTTTATCAACAGAGTGGAGATATTGTTATCGAATTTTCAGCATTCTAACATGCAAAGTTTCAAATGATTAATAGGGTCGGTTACGTTGTAGGTCTTCAGTACACGTCCACTCCTTCCTCCTCCCCGTGGCTCAGGGTGTTTAAGAGCGATGTAGCATTACACAGACACATAGAATCTCACAATTAGCCATGACCTAGTCCAAGCCCCAGGCTATGTTCTCAGCAAGATCACCAATGCATAGCCAATGGTTTTTTTTTTGAGTTAGAGTCTCACTCTGTCGCCCAGACTGGAGTGCAGTGGCTGCTCCCAGTCACCGTAGCCTCGACCTGCTGGGCTCCGGTGATCCTTCTGCCTCAGCCTTCCGAGTAGCCGGAATTACAGGCGTGCGCTACCAAGCCCGGCTGATTTTTTGATTTATTGTAGCGATGAGGTCTCGCTGCCCAGGCGGGTCTCGAACCCGCGGGCTCAGGCAATCCACTCACCTCAGCCTCCCAAAGGCGCGGGATTACAGGCTGAGCCACCGAGCCCGGCTCATAGTCAATGTTTTTATCACTGACAATTGAACGTTTGTGAGTGAAGAAACATGACCTCATCACTTAATAAGAAATCCCTGATAAAAAGAGTAAGACATACCTTTAATCTGAGAAATGAGTACAATCACCAGAAATATACACCCCGGATGCATTCTGAATGATTCTGGTAGAAGAGAGCACAAATGCTTAAGAAAAGATATGCACCTTTCTTCCTCCTTGCTTCCACTACAAGGATGAAGAACCTAACAGATAGCACAGTTTTGATCCATCTCAAGGAAGTGTTCCTTGACTGAGTTACACAACTTGTTAGGTGCTTGAGGCTAAAATCTGCGGGTTGAACATTGTGTGCTAATTAAAGACAACTATGGAGGCGGTGGTGGGAGAGGTGAGCTGGGTGTAGATTCTTACCTCATGTCTAGTATAAATATGACTGAAAATGTTTTAAAACTTCAAAAGTGAAAAAATTCAAGAATGTTTTAGAAAAAAATTATTGAAGGATGTTTATATAAACTTTGGTTGAAGAAGTTGAAATTCTTGCTATGCAGAATACCCTATGTGGAAACTGTAAAGGAATATTTACTGAAATAAACAAGATAGAAATATTTAAAAATACATGTTGTAAGCAACATATTTATTAAAATCAAAAGACAAACCAAAACTCCGGCAGTGTAATGCGCCATATAGAGTAAAAGATGGGAGTATGTATCCTTGTAATATAACACTCTTTTGAACCAGTACAAATGAGAAAGTACTAATAACTGTGCAAAACACTAGGACAGACTTGTCTATATGTCTGTTGTTTTTGTTTTCTTTCTTGTGTTAGAAGAGATATCTCACTGCCAGTAGAATACCCTTATCTTCATTTGGGATTCTATCCCCTCCCCAGTCTCACATTATCTAATATTCACACAAACTGAGCCAATCTATGTCAACTTACTTTTGATATTTAAACAAGCTGAGGTCTCTCTCTTTTAAAAAATTCTACCCTCAATTCTATATCCCACATGCTCCTGCCTTCTTTTCCATTTCCTTTTCAGCTAAACTTCTTACAAGGTGTATTTGGACTTCTCTTGGCAATTTTCTTAGCTCCAACAGTTCTAACATCTGCTGTTATTATTCTACTAAAATAGCTGACTAACGTCTCCAATGATTTTTACCATTTCCATGTCCAATGAGTATTTTGGTCCCGTATCTTTTCCTCTCAACAACATTTGCCGCTGTTGACCACATCCTTTACCTTGAAATATTCTAATCTCTCCTTTGGCACAATAGCCTTTCTAACTTCTTCCTACCTCACTGGCAACTTGCAGACATATCTCCTTCTACTCAGTGTTGAAATTTTTGCATTCTTCAAGGTATTTATCTTATGCCTTCTTTCCCTCTAAGTATGATTGTTCCAAAGTCATTTTATCTTCAACTCATCTTAATTATTTTTGTGCTTTGCCTCATATTTTGTATCTCCAGTCATTTGAGCAACAGACCTATATGGCCGACTTTCGACTCAATGTCTTCAGTGAGAGGACTCAAAACCCCTGTAAAGTCAATATGTACAAGACAAAGTACTTTTCCCCTCAACTCGTTCTGTCTTAGCGAACGGTGCCAGCATCCCTTCAGCATTGCATATCTGAAAGTCAGTATCATCTTTGCCATCCTTTATCATCAAGCCATCACTAAGGTGTTTATTTGTTTTGTTTTGAGTTGGAGTCTCACTCTGTCGCCCAGACCGGGTGCAGGGGCCCGCTCTTGACCGCCATATGCCATTCACTTCTCTCCAGCTTTTCTGCTTCCATCTTAGTCCAAGCTACCATTGACTCATTTTTGGCCGCACTCTAACAAGTACGATCTTTTCAATATGCACACCTGTCATTCGTGTGCCTGTTAAAAATGCTTCCATAGTTTTTCGTTGGTGTTAGGATAAAGACTCGCTTGACTTTAAAGTCTCCCAAGGCAAATTGCCTGTCACTTATTAACTTTGTGATTTGGGGCATGGTACGAAACATTTCCAAATTTTTGTTTTTTTTTTATCTTTAAAATGAATATAACAGGATCTCTCTCATAGGGAGTATGTGAGTATTAAACGAATCTGTACCGACAAGAAATCTGACGTTCCCTGGTTCATTCACTTTCTAACTCTCTTCATTGACTGTTTTAAGCTCTTCCTTTTCTCCCCAAATCTCTAAATCTCCGTTTCCTTACTCTCATCTGATCATCTTGCTTTTCTATTTCCCTAAGAAAAAAGAAACCATCAGAAGAACTCTCACTTTGCCCCATTTTCACATCTGCCTTACTATCAACATGTGTGTCCATGGAGACTAGTTTCCTCCTGTTTTTATGCACATACTATCCATGCTTCTAAGGTCTATCCACCAAAAGTGCATGGGATTCTGTTCCTTCTTGTACCCTCGATGCTATCACTCCAGCATTTGTTCCTCCTTTCTATGATATCATGTCAATATGTCTACAAACATGGTCATTTTTTCTAGCTTTGACAAAGTACTATTTTGCACCACTCTCTCCTCTACTTAGCTTCTACTCATTCTCAGCTTCTAGTAGTAAAATTTCTTTTAAAAAAGAAAAGAAAAAAAGAAAGAAATGGCTGTACAAGTTGTCTCCAGTTTCTCTCTCCCCATTTGCTTGAAATTATTCCTGCCAGATATTTTATACTTTGTCCAACAAAGCAATTCTTGTCAATGTTACCAATGATCTGCACCTTGCTAAATTCAGTGGTCAGTTTCCAATCCTCACTCAGTTCATATTTTAGCAGCATTAGACACAGTTGATTGTTTTCGTCTTTTGTAAAGAGTTTAGCTTCTGGTGCATCATAGATCTCCTCCATGCTTATTCACTGCTTCTTTTTAGTCTCCTTTGTCAGATCCTTCTCTCCCTAGTGTCTAATTGCTCCAGATTACCATGTCTCAATTCTTGAAATTTTATCTTCTTTGTATAGGAATAAGGCAGTTCCCACTCAATCTTCTGGTTTTAAATATCATTTATAAAATGATGGCTGCCAAATTTATTTATTTAACCTGATCTTCTGTGAATCGCAGACTCATAGAAGCAACTAACCTTTCAGCAATTCACCTGAATATCTAACAAATATCTTAAACAGAAGTACAAAGTCAGGTTCCTACTCTTTCCTCCAAACCTGGTATTTCCAGTCTTTTTTATTTTAGGATATTGCAGCTCCATCCTTTCAGTTACTCAGGAGTCATCCTTGATTCTTCTCTTTCCCCCCACACTTTGCATCCCATCCATTAGCAAATCCAGTTGTCTCTACCCTGAAAGACAGCAAGAGGCTTACCACTTCTGACCGCATTTACTGCTAATGTGCTGGTGTTAAACAACATCATCTCTAGCCTAGTTTATTGAACTTGCCTCTTATCTTATCTTACTGTTTCTCTCTTGGTCCCTCACAATGTATCCACACATCACCCAGAATGATCTTATTAACATACATTACATTATGGGATTCTTCTGCCCAAACTTTTTTTAATGGCTTTTCATCTCGAACTGCTAGCCAACACCCTATGATAGCCTGCAGGATCCACATGATCTAGCCTGATGTCCTCTGGGTTCTTATCTTACTACTCTTCTCCTCACTCACTCTGAACCTATCTTCATGTGTCCTTGGCATTTACTGAGCAGACCAACCACATTCTTCCTCAAGGGCCTTTGTTTGTTGTTCCTTCTGCCTGCAATGTAATCCTCTCAGGTAGTCACATGTCTCGCCTGCTCTTTTCCTGCAGTTCTCTAGTCAAATATTATCATGTCAGTGAGGTCTTCTCCAAGCACCCTGTGCAAAATAGACTTGCCCACTTCAACTCTGTCACCTGTAAGTCCTTTTGCTTTGCATTAGTCAACATCTGAAATGCTTTATATTTACCTGTTCATTTATTTATTTTTAGTTGCCTGACTCCCCTCCTTAAAATGTAATCTTGTAAGGACAAAGATTCAAAGATTTTGTCTGCTTTGTTTCCCACCATATCTTCAGTGCCTGGAACAGTAGATTGGCAACAGATTTTTTTTGTTGTTTTTCTTTTTGAGTTGGAGTCTCACTCTGTCGCTCAGACTGAAGTGCAGTGGCCGCTCCCGGCCACTGCAACTTCGACCTGCTGGGCTCCGGTGATCCTTCCGCCTCAGCCTTCCAAGTAGCTGGAACTACAGGCGCGCGCTACCACCCCCGGCTAATTTTTGATATATTGTAGAGATGGGGTCTTGCCAAGTTGCCCGGGCGGGTCTCGAACCTGTAGGCTCAGGCAATCCACTCACCTCGGCCTCCCAAAGTGCGGGATTACAGGCTGAGCCACCGAGCCCGGCTAGATTTTTTTTAAATGAATGTGTTAATATTTTACAAACATGTAAAGGTATCTTTCTGGTACATAGTAAGCATTCAATGAAGTAATCTATGATTATTTTAGCTTTTAATTATAAGAAAGTTATGTAGTATAGTAAATAAAACTACTCACTAAGAACTACATCACTTCAGTTCAATTCCCAGCATGCATAATTTCTACCTGTAGACCTTGGATAATATCTGATCTCTCTGTGCCTGTTTTTTTATCTCCAATATGAAGATAGTAATAATATCTAACTTGTAGCAATTGCAAGGATTAAATGAAGCAATTTAGGTAAATCACTTAAAAGCAGTTTCTTCTGCATATCAAAATCTAGATAAGTATTAATTTCTAAAGAGCTATATAAATGAATGTTGGTTTTTGTTATTACTTTTACTGATCCATCTTCATCTGCTACTACCATTTGTTTCTCTTTCTTACCTCCAGATTCTCTGGCTTTCCCTATTGATCCTAACACACAATGCGTTCTCTCATTAAAGGACTTCTAGACATATCTGCCTCTTTACCTGTAGTCCTGTCTTTTTCTTCTCATGGCCAAATTAATTCCCTGTTTTTTAGTTCTCAGTGCAAGAGTCACTATCTCAAGAAACCTTTCCCAACACCAAAATCTAGGCTGTATTCTTAGTGAATCAAGTTTCTTTTTTTCCCTAAAACTTATATTGGCATATCATACACTTATTAGTCAAATATTTGAGTATATGTCTCCTCCTGAAAACCATATACTCCAAGAAACAAAGGGTGTGCTTGCTTTTGTTTACTCTAGCACCATAAACCTACATGCATCTTGCATGTAGACATTGTATTCAATATAAATTTGTTGAACAAATGACTATACTCATTTAAAACATCATTAATTGATTATATCCTTATATGTTTTCTTTCCAGAATTTTTTTAACA